AGGGGGGGGGCACCTGCCATTTTTTCCGGCCTTGTGCCATGCAAGACAAGCTTCTTGCAGCTGATGGCCCGAGCAAGCGGTGCCTTGTTACAGTTGTGGGGACGTGAGTATCTCTATGATGAGCTTACAAGCTGAAAGGGCACTGAAGCAGTTCCGAAACCTTCTGTCTTCCTGGCCTGACTGCTCCCAAGACATGACAAGACCCTGAATGTCCGAGTGCAGTTTTCATTCAGCGCTGACCCTAAATGTTAAATCACCCTTTCACCTGAACTTGCAGACAAGAGCCTCGTCCGCGCCAGAGGAATCCATAAACGCGCCTAAGCACAACCCTCATAATAAATCTTGATTCAATATCACTAGTGGCGGCATATAGCCTTCACAGCATTCAACATACTACTTCCTAAGCACATGAAGCTTAAAGAATGATCGAAGCCCCCAGGAGGAGGAAGCGGAAGCGGCAAGGAAGCGAGGTGCTAGCGGTCAAGGCTTCCCGCATCTTCTGCTTCAAAGTTTAAGGGGTTTAGGCTTAGGGCTTAGGGCTCAGGGCTTAGGGTTCCATGCATGTCTACATGAGAAGGCCCCGCAGGTGAAAGTTGGTTTCATAAACGACTACATGGGCATTTCCCCAAATGAGGGGCCCCTATACATATATATATATATATATGGTACCCCCCCCCAGTGACCTACCCTTTTTCGCCTTGTCTCAAGTCACAGCTGCACTGCAAGCAAACTCGGTGTGCAATATAGCGTATTTCCTAGGGCGTAGACTAAAATACAACTAAAATCGCATACACGGGACAGTAGAAAAACCAAAAATACCAAAACCAAAAAAACCAAAAAGCCGAAACCAAAAAAACCAAAAAAACCAAAAAAACCAAAACCAAAAAAACCAAAAATACCAAAAAAAACAATTTTCCGGGACTCTCAGGAAATTCCTATGAGGCTTCTCCAAGAGCCCCAGAAAATTGGTTTTTTTGGTATTTTGGTTTTTTTGGTTTTGGTTTTTTTGTTTTTTTTGGTTTTGGTATTTTTGGTTTTTTGGTTTTGGTATTTTGGCTTTTTGGTTCGCCTTCACGGTCACGAGGCAACAACTACGCATTTTTAAGTGTGCTTATGCTAATTGTGCTTTTCAAAAATAGTATACAAGTGGTCTTTCTAGTGCTTTAGAACTTTTTGTTTCGTTATTGTGTAAGTAGAGCCGCTAGTGTTTAGTGCATCTTTTGGTTGCACTCAAGTGTAGTAGACCTTATTCAGCCATTACTTGGTGCTCTGGTAGCTAAATTCGCATGGATAATATTTGCCTGGTATATGCGATTAATTATCTAGAAGCAGCATTTGCAATACTTGTCTTGAGAAAAAGCATTTATTGCTTAGAATTGTTTGCTTAAAAAGTGACTCCTACTCGTCCAGGGATACCCCAAAACCCTATAATCCAAACTTCACCAGAGATTCTCCTGAAAAGCTTGCGCTTTTGGATGTTTTTACGTATTTGTGAATTTGCTTGTGGTATGGCCTTCACTTTAGAAGTACTTTTCTAGGATTCTTGTGCATTTTTTAAGCCTGATTGTGCAAGTTGCGTTTTTCAAGCATAGTATATATGTGGTCTTTATTGAATACTTCAGACATCTTTGTTTCATCGTTATGTAAGTAGAACCGATTTCCATTATTGTGCATTTTTAAGCTTGCTTATGCAAATTGTGCTTTTCAGACATAGTATACAAGTGGTCTTTAGTGAATACTTCAGCAATCTTTGTCTCATTGTTATGTAGGTAGAACCGTTTCCATTTCCGCAAGTGTTTATTTCGTATTTGGTTGAGTATGGTCCTTTAAATAGTATTCACTTGAGTCAAATTGGGCTATTTGCTTAAGAATTCCTCTAGTAGTTAAATTCGCATAGAATGAATACTTCAAAAAAATTGTTTCATGAATATGTAAACATAAGGTGTTTCATTTGACTTTGCAGATAGTATTTCAATAATACTTTGCCTGGTATAAACACAACTGTTTCAATGCATTAGTTGCTCAACAAAGCACTATTTGCCCTTTAAACCACACTTTGCCATATGTTGGTTGTATATGGTGCTTATTTCGTATTTTGGTTGAGTATGGTCCTTTAAATGGTATTCACTTGAGTCAAATTGGGCTATTTGCTTAATAATTACTCTAGTAGCTAAATTCGCATAAAATGATTATTTCAAAAATAAAAACGATTCATGAATATGTAAACATAAGGTATTTCAGTGGACTTTTCAGAGAGCATACTTTGCCTAGTACAAGCACAATTGTATAAATACAGTATTTGCACTTTAAACCCACACTTTGCCATATTTTGGTTGAGAATGGTGTCTATTTCGTATCTTGGTTGAGTATGCTCCCTTAAATGGTATTCACTCGAGTCAAATTGGGCTCTTTGCTTAATAATTACTCTAGTAGCTAAATTCGCATAGAACCAAGAAAAATGTTTCACTATTTGATTAATACTTTGCCTCGTACAAACACAATTGTATAAATAAATTAGTTGCTCAACAAAACATTAATTGCCCTTTAAAACGCACAATTTGCATAGAAAAACACTGATCTAAACATCTAAAAACAGCATTGTCCGCTTCAGATTCAAAATGTAGATTCTTCCAAATGCTGGCTTATCGGGGTCTGTGAGGTGGGTGTCCCAGTAACTGTCCTTCATTACCCGGTGATTAACTACGCGACTTTTGGGCCTTGTTTGTTATTTTTTGTTAAAAAGGCCTAAAAAGGCCTAAAAAGGGTAGGTCGCTGGGGGGGGTAGCATATATATATATATATATCGTAGTTATGGGGGCCTACTCCTTTTCGGGAAACCTCCCACATGAGTTTTCTTCGGATTGGGCTTGTGGTCGAACATATGGTTGCCTTTTGCACATCTGTCATCGCTTGTGTGCATATGGGGTTTGATCACAAGGCCTCGCTTGATCAACTGCGTTTTGTGAAGTTCATTTGCAAGTTCTGCAAGCTCATCCTGCAGACTGCCCTACACTGTCACACACGAGCATCCCGCTGAAGGGTGAGTAAATGGGGCTCGCACTAAGGAACGGAACCAAGAACTGCCGTTGCGAATTCTGAGGTTCGTCGTATATTTTGATATACTGGGCAGACATTGCCAGCATGCTTTGATTGTTGAAAGCCGCCGGCGACTTTCCCCAATTAAACAGGGCACGCCACAAAGTACAACCTGTTTCATTCACAGCAAGTTCCAAACATTCAGTTTGAACGGTCTTCCCTGAAAACTCTTGGCTGATTAATGCTAAGGTCATTCTTTCGTACCCGTGTAAGTTGGCTGTTTCGTTTGCCAGCAAGCAGTAACAATATTGAACCAGAAAGAGAGCTGCAAGCCGAAGCCGAACACGAATCTACGTGGCCAGCTTGTATCACTCGTAGATTTGCTTCGACTCTTTCGAGGTACGATGTGATGCGATGCGGCCTTGGGGTTTGACGACTTACGACTTGAAGATTTACAGAGGGATGAGGATCATGCTTTATATTCGATCCGAGTGCTGAGGTCCCATGAAGTGTGCCCTCTGCAAATGGTTTGGATCACAGCAACAGCAACATCACACCCTGAACCCTCCACCCGTTGGACCCCAAACCCGGGCATGTGCCCTGCAATGTGGCCCGAGTGTCAGCTAGGCGGGTGGCAAACACAAATCCTCTTTGGCTTGCCTGCCGTGTGCGAGCGTGAGAGTGGAAACCCCAAACCCGAAACCCTAGACGTCGCCTGGCTTGTCCCAGAGTCTTTGCCTGTGCAGGAGGTAAAAAAAACCCCCCACCTGCCTTGTGCGAGCACAATGAAGGCCGCAAGGGCTGCTGTGAGCCCGAGCGTCGAATGCAAAGCTCCTGGCCATGGACCCTTGCGTGGGCTGCTCCTGTCGCCTGTCGTGCTCAGGGACTCAGGGTGCAGTTTCAGCCTGAATCCCCAAGCGCTCTCCGGGTCTTTTCTCAAGTTCCTTTTGCCTGAGTCAATTTGGGAAGCCTACGGGCTGATCTGCAAAGCAGAGGGACTCCTGGCAGTTTCTGTGTTTAGTGAGTCGGGATGTGGCCAGCCTTCATTTTCTGGTGATCTGGGTTGCGAAAACGCTCTAAGTTGCTGTCAGAGGTCTGTCCTGCCCGATGCTGCAGAGCTGGTGGCGGTGCAGTCCTGTCTTGGCCACGTGCAGGTACCACCTGCCGCTGATCGGGAGGAGAGATGGGTAAACCCTACACCCTAAACCCTCGCGCGCCACTCAGATCATTCAGCAGAAGCCCTAAACCATAAACCCCCTTGATCGTTGTAATCAACGGGACTTTTTCGACCTTCCGGTTGGTTGGTTTAATCCAGAACGAGGGATATCTGATAGTGAAGCATACCCGTTCCTACCTTGAAATCTGTTAGACGCTTATATTGATTCGGGTACGAAAATTGGTCTTTTTGGAGCTGTTTCTGGCATTGGTTTCTGTTCATGCATGCCAGAAGCCGAAAGCACCCTGCCCTTCCCAACCCGAAAACCTAAACTTCCTAAACCCGCGAGAGGTCTGGGTGTTGGGATCGGTTGGCAGGTCTTGGCCCGGCAGCTGTTGGGTGAGACCGCCGCGATCGTGGTGCCCATAAGAGACCTCAGAAACTCTGAAAGGTCCCCCTGGTTCTCAGTAAGGGTTTAGGGTTTAGGGTTCAGGGAATGAGGGAGTTCGGACCCCTATACATACCCTTTAAGGGGATAATCAATCGGACTTCCCTCATTCCCGACTTAAGAACCAGCCAGCAGGTTTGCAGGTTGTCGGCGTTGTCCAGTGCGCAGACGGAAGTTTGAGTGAAGGAGCAATGCTGACCATTTGAGTTGTTATTTGCAAACAGATTGTGCACGAAATTGCACCTGATGAGTCTAGAAATGTCTAAGAAGGCTTGTTGGGCAATTGACGCCGGTCAGCTTGTCGATGTTGGCTCAGCATGAACCAGTCCTCGTTAGTATCGAGGAACCCTGCAATCCTTTCCCATGATTGGCTTAGTCCGGCCACCACAAACCCAAAAAAAGAGCCCGAAGTGTCGCGAAGGTGCAGGGCTCCTATGCCCAGGGCTTGGCGCTTCGGGGATCTGATCTGGATGTCGCGGTGATTGAGGAGGGCCTGTCCAAGCAGAAGGCGCTGCGGCCTCTTGGTCCTTAGTGTTTGGGGAAGCCCTCAGGATGGGCTCTTTAAGTCCTTTAAGTCTTCAAATTAAGGCCGACCTTTTTGAGAGGGGCGCACGGATGGTAGGGCCAGCCTGCAAGCTTCAACAGCCCCTGCAGTCCACACACAGATGAGCCATGCATGTGAGCAGCGCACCGGAGCTGAACTCTGTCACTTCACAACAGACATTGACAAGAACCTAGTTCTATCTGTTCCAAGAAACTCACACAGGCCTAGGGGAAACACATCCGAGCCAAGAATCGTTGCCAAAAGCCCTCTTCCCTGCTGCCCATGCTCAAATTGCTGTTGCGAAAGATCCCTAATGTTTATCGGAGTGCCCGAAGATGCTGGGAGTGGCAGATGAACTAAGACCGATCGAAGCAAGGGGGGGAAGGCTGCAAACCCTGTTGCAATGTTTCCCCTCGACTGGTGGCAAAAAGGCACCTCTTCGTAAAAAGATGATTTTTCCCAAACCCCAACCAATGCCAAACAGAAACCAAAACTCGACAAACAACCGGCCGTGCCCTGATCATGTACGAAGTCCTCCCTCTGACTTGTGAAGGATGCAGTGGACCGGAAGCAGGCACTGGCATGCCTGCGACAAATGGCGATTGCCCTCCAGGACCATGGGCCCAGACAAGCCGAGAACCTAAGGCAACCGCCTTCAGAGGGCTTGAGCTATGCGGCTTACCCTAGAGCACATGTAGAGCGCTACATGATAGTTACATGTTTCTGGAGCGCTTGCTCTTGCTGAATGCTGGTACGAGAGGGGCCGCCGGAGCATAGGATGCACCATATGGGGGGAGGGGGGGTGGGAGGGGGAGGGGGGTTCTAATCGTTTGTCTGAACAGACAGCCCGTCCTTCGAGCTTGCTGGCTCAAGTCATAAAGCAAGCCCTCAACCCTAAACATTTGCGGGCTTTCAGGTTACGGGGAAGAGTTCATGCTTCAAGCTTCCGACCCTCCCTGGCCCCCCCTAACGCCCCCACCGTCCCAGTTCGGTAGAGAGAGGTTTTAAAGGGGCGGCTACGGGATCGGGTTGTTGGGCCAGTGGTTTGTAATACTAGGAGGGTAGCAATGTTAGTGGGGAGGGATTAGTTGGTTTGGCATGTTACTGTTGGCATCAAGAAGTTGTTCAATAGATGGCAAGGGTCTAGAAAACCAAAGAAGCATCATGCTTCAAGGAGGGCCAAGAAGGAAGCCTCCTCTCCACCAGGAGGCCAAGCTGCCGGACATCCGCATCGCCTTGCGGATCTTCACCGCCAAGGTGGGAATGCCCCTGCAGGGACTGCCGAGCTTCGGGGGCTCCAAGGTGGAAGAGGCATGCCTACATACCACGCCTGCTAGGAAGCTGCGACCTTTGTTTCACGTCTCATATGACATGCTGACGACCTGACTCGTGCTTTGGAGAGGTACCGGTTCTGCGGCGACTTGCCTGCACGATGGCGCGGGAACATCGTGATCCGAGCATGCCCGAGCCCTCAGTAAGACTCTATAGGCTCTTTCTACCCTAAACCCTTAAACCCTTCAACCCTTCAACCCTTAAACCCTTAAACCCTTAAACCCTAAACCCATAAACCCTGCGGCCTTGCACCTTTACTATAGACCCAGCAGGGACCGGGAGGGCGATCCGAGGCTCCACTGCGGCGCCAAGGGCGAGCGGCATACCGTGGTGGATGTCTCCGTGGGGGGCAGCCTCCTGAGGGGTGCCTGCGACCGCAGCGTCTATGCTGTGTCACTGGGCCAGACTTGGAGGAAGCATGAGTATATTGAGTATATGGGATGCGACAAAGTTCTGCTTTGAATCCCCATTGAACTGGCCTCAAACGATTTCAACAGGGTCATCTGGGAGCAACCATGTTGCCTTGCCACGAGGTATGGACTGCTTCAAGGCTCGTAACTGCTAACTCTTGCGTTTGCACGCCTTGACTTTGAACAAAACCAATCTCGGTCTAAGGCTGAAGCAGGACAAGCTCGGCATATCCACGGCGTTGTGCCCAGGCTATTCAATGGTTATCTTGCATACTTTTGAAACACGTGCTCGCTATTTCTTTACACTATTCCTACACTTGTTTTCTCATTACCACCAGTGGGTCCTCTGAAGCGTAAATTGAGAGGGCGCACTTTTCACCTCGTGCGCTTGTAAATTGCGGAAGTCCGGGCGGCTCTATAAACAATGACCATGTTGATGTTGCGAGTGCCGGGGCTCGCCGAAAGTGGGTGAAAGAAACCGCACATGTTTCGCGAAGCTTCTACTTGCAAAAACCCTGGCAGCGTCCCAGATCATCAAGCCTCTTATCAGGATTGCAGCCTTTGTTCCCCAAAACCGTTGTAAGTGAATTATCTGGTCAGGGATGCGGATTTGCAGCAGCGGGAAACGCCTGGCCCCGGTTCGTTTTTGGGTGCATAGTGGTCTGGCCAACTTCAGTTGGAGGAGGACGCATCGGTGAGACCTCCTGAATTCGCATCCGTGAAGTTTCGTAAACAGCTGATGAGCTCCACTGCTCGAAAACGACACTTTTCGGGAGATCCGTTGTTTGCCGTTGGTTTGGGGCTGTGGGATCAGCAAAAAAGTCCCGGCGAAAGTACGTGTGGATGGCGAATCCTGAAGGCAGGCCTTCCTCTCTTCTGATTTGCGAACATATTCATTTCTGGAAGGTCTAGATGTTGGTGAGATCGCACAAGCAGACCACACCTTCCCCTCCAGAATGCACTGCAAGCCGACGAAGCAAGATGCAAGGTGCCGCATGGTGAAGCTTTGGGCAAAACGCCGACGGCTTACCAACACGCTGAAGGGAGGCCTCAGCAGCTGCTCGCCTGCGACATGCTGGCATCGATAAGGCGGTCCCTGAAAGCCGCGCTTTTTTCTCTCGAAAGGGTCTTGACATGTGGCGGATCGAGTCGCACAGCCGCGTGTACCGGTGCATGTGCATGTGGTTAGTGATTTCGGTTGCTGTTGAAGGACAGCGACTGCTGGCTGGGAATGGCGGAGTCTTTCATGCTAAGCTCATGGCATATAGTGTCATGAGGAGACCATCGCGGCTCCTGAGAGTGGCTGTCGTTGTTCAGCTGTGTTTGGAAAACAAGGTTTCTCCTTCGTGCTACTGACCATCTTCTTTCTGCAGCAGGGAGGAGAGTCAAATGCTGCAGGGCAGTCCCATGGCCTGCCACCACAGCGCCTCAGGTGTCAACTTGTCAGGCTGATTCTGTCATGAGAGCAAATGATCGGCTTTGGTCTGGTTGAGTAATGTATCAGCAGGTGTCGCCGACCCTTTCAGTTCTTCGTTTGCTCAGCTTATGGCCCTACAGTAGACTCACTTGGAAAGACATCCAAAGACCCAGGAGCCTGGTCACCGGCACCAAGCCCACGCCGGCAAATCCAGACAAGTGCTGCCCACCTCCCTTGGGCCTCCAACCGCAGGCTTCCGAAGAGGAGTCTGCTGTAAGCTACGATTTGCTTAAGAACCCACCAAAAAATAAAAATAAATAGTCCGTATATTACCCTTAGAAGGAAGAATGGTCTGTGTTTTTGGGGGGTCTAAGGCAAATAGTAGTGTAAGGAGCTGGGCTTTGAGGGCAGAGAGATTGACGGCTTGACGAGTGAAGTGAAGTTCTGATGCCTGCGTCGAAAACACTCTGAAACGAAAGCTCTGTTGACACATATTCTCTGCTTTTGGTTAGCGTGTTTAGCTTTTGCACATAGCCTGTCGGAGACTTGTCCTCGGCTTCTCGAAAGGACCTTGGGCGCTTACTTTTGGCGTTCTTTAACTGGGCGGCAGAGGACTTGCCACGGCTTCAGAGCTTCACACTCTCTGTTGCCACTGCAAAAGCCGAGCGCCGGGCTGGGGCCTACAAACCTTTGATCCTGGCCGTGCCTTTTGCCCCCGCGGAGAATGCTGCTCGCTGCCTACGCGCGGATGTTTGGGAAATGCTGATCCGGCGCGAGCTGCAGCGAGCAAGCCGCTTCATGAAGCAGATGGTCAGCCAAAATGGGCCTGACCGAAAAGACACTTCCACGCAGAGCTTACCCTTCTAGCTCAACTTCTCCTAAAGTTGTTTTGCAAGCTGTGCTGGGTCAGCTCCTAAAGCCTTTCAGAACAACCGCCTTCAATGGGAAAGCAAACGCCCAACTCGACTAAGAGCGAGATTCAATTTTTCCCAACATTGAACAGGTTGTTAGAAGAAATGCCCAGAAAGCGCAATGGAAACTGATGAATAGGATATGTTCTTGGACTCGTAGAAGTTTGCTCACTCACGACTGGGCATCCGAGGAGACGGTGAGGTTGCTGTTTGCCCCCGCCGGGGAGGACCAAGAAAACGCGCTTCCGCTACAACCAGACCTGGCTGCTCCTTGCCATGGTCAAGCGCGAACCACAGGCTTTGAAGTAGAATCCTTTGCGGGCTGCAAATTACACATGCAGGGGAATGGGGGCAAATTGCAAGTGTGGACGACGCTAGCTGGTGAGCTGCCGGATACTGTGGTACTGCAATATACCTGCAATACTGTACTGCAAAACTCATGTCGAACAAGTTCAAACATGTAAGCCCTGGAACTCCTTGGAGTCTAGTTGTAATCTCTAGGATGTATAGCACTGACGCCGAAGCCTCTGGCCTCTGGCACCTGCTTCGGTTTTGCTTGTTCCTGTTCCGTAGAGCAGTGCTGGGGCTTCCAGACTCAGGCCAGAGAGATTAGACTGTCGCTGAAGTTAAGAAGGCGAAGGACGACCAAATGCTGCATTGACGGACTGTCCCCCCCCCCCCCCACCCTAAGTCGGTGGAGTTTTGAACAGGGGCGACTGCCGGATCGGGGTGTTTAATATTTTTTGGCAGGGGTTTTGAGCTTTTCGTCCCAGTTAAGGGCAAGAGGCCTTGTGTGGCTTTGGGCTCAATCCGTGGAAGTATTGGGCTTAACCCTGTTCCCGCTTTGTTGAGGGTTTACGCAAAAGCCCGATTCAGATAGGAACCTTTCTGTCCTTAAACCCGAAGGCTTGGCAAGTAATCCTGAACCCAAAACCCTAGCAGCTATAGCCATAGCCACCAAAAAGAAACTACAAAGGACAGAGGGTTTATTCGGACACGTATCCCACCCAGAGTATTTTCAGAGTGTCCCTGGAGTGCCCAACCCTAGAGGTATATTCGAATGTTCGATGTCAGAAAAAGTATATATATGTATATATATTTTTTTTTTGGGGGGGGGGGGTTGCTATTCATCGAAGGGCCTCATGCTCCACAGGCACGAAATCCGTAAGGACCCAAGCCAAGCCCAGGAAGACGCGCTGCCTCATGAAACAGAGGCGCCGCCTCAGTCAGATGCCGAAGGCCGAGAAAATTTCGAGTGTCGTGTTGGCTTGACGACTCAGGAGCTCTGCGATGGGAATGGTTTAAAGAAGATCGGCTTAAGGAGGTTTTCCGACCCCTTCTTCTTCTATGGGTGCGCATCATAGTCATCGGAGAGAGTGTGTAGAGGTGCCTGTCCGTGGGTCTCTTCATCTCTCCGCGCCCAACTTTTTTCGAGACTTCCGACTAAGTTCTGCTGAAAAGAATCCATACTCTAAACCCTAGACACCCTGAACCCTCAAAAGGCTCGCAGAGCGACCCTCCCATGGGACGCGCTGCCCGGAAGAGGCGGCGCAAGATGCTGGGCAGGGATTGGGGGAAAACACGCGCATGGGGTCGTTCTTTCAATCTGTGGGCCCTCCTTGAACCCTAAAATGCAAGCCTCCGCATTAAAAAAAAGGAACCCCAGAAGAGGATCCTAATGAGGGTGACATGACGAGGGTCTGGGCTTGGGACTGGACTTCGGTCTCTTTCAGTTACATCTAAGCCGAATCTGCGCCAAAGCAGATTCTGCATGGCCCTGGTCATTCCAGGAAACAGAACCATTCGGGTCGTTCGTTCCTCGATAACTCGCTGAAACTGTGGCTTCCCTAGCTAGCCGAACTTCACGTGGTCCTTCAGTACTGCTTGCAAGTCCATAGCTGTTCTTGGCTTTTCGCGGTTGCGAGCTGCCAAGACCAAGGATCGAACGGCGGACGCGCAGCAGGCAAAAGCTTGAATCCCCTTGACTTGTTTGCAAACCCCAGGTGATGCTTTTTTCGACATGTCTCCACAGCTTCAGACTTCGGCTGTAAGTAGGATGCAGTCGGGAACAATGCCGCACCACGCCTCTGCATCTTCCACGCGGACTCCATCTTGACGCTGATGCAAACTCTTTCTCCGAACTAGATGCGCAGCTAGTAGTGTCTACAGATTTTGTCCCTTTGGCCTTTTCTGCAATTGCAAGCTAACGCCGTCATCGCTGATAGTTTCAGTCGCTACTGCGTGATCCTGGCACCGGAGAGTTGATGGCTATTGGCAGGCAGTCTCCAGCCTCAGACGTGTCGATGCCCGAGGTGGTTGCCCCTGTTGACAGGCGGGAACCACGCACGACATCTGCGAGAAGGGTCTGAACATCTCGATTGAAGCAGTTGAGGTAGATGCTGGAGGTTCGTACTTACACAGGATCCCCGTGCAGGGCCCATTTGCGTCCAGTTGCAAGATGCAAAGTTTGTGCCCTAGCTGTTGGCAATTTGCCCTGCGAAGGTGGCTGGGCCTCCGTACGCTCTTGAACCCGCAGTAACGCCGAGCGGGCCACGATGGCCTAAGGCTTGCACGAGTACATGGACAAACGGAGCCGCAAACACAGAAGCTTCAGATGCATAGGGCATGCATGCAGAGCCCAACCGCATAGTCTTGGCACTGCGATCACGATTCCACCAGTTACGGCACAAGTACGCTGGTTGCGTGTGCGTGTATGCATGCACCCGAGTGAGAGAGTGTGCAAGAGGGAGAGGGGGAGAGAGATAGAGACCCTGGGGGTCCTCTCAAGCGAGAAGAAGAAGAGGAAGAGAGAGGAAACAAAATGAAGAAAGAGAAAGAGAGCAGTGCGCGGGTTGTAGCGTTCTGTGAGAAAGGAATTAAGAAAGAGAAAGAGGGCACCCCAGGTGCGCAGCGTGACGGGAGGAAGTCCGTCTCCGCATGCCTGCATCAGAAAAACAAGGAGGAAGCAAATATAGAGAGAGAGAGAGTAACACACCACCCCACTGCCACTCTGCAGGGGGCTCTTTGATGGGCTTCGTGGAAAACCAACCACCTTAATTTTTTGACATGGCCAGGTGTTTAATTCCGGGCGGCACTCTTTCATTCCACCACTTTGATACGCAACCTGGAGGGGACCCCAATAGAGTCCTCTGGGTGCATGTTTTTCCCCTGCGACCACTTCATTTTCGCCATCTGGCATTCTGCAATCTGTAAAGGGGACTATGAACACCGTAGCAAGCCCCTCGTTCCAACTGACCTTCCCGGGACTCGCGCGCCCCTGGGGGCAGCTCTCCTCTTCGGGGGGGGGGCCATGCGTGCAGGAGAGGGAGAGAGAGAGAGAGATCTCTATAGGGCTGTCGTGGTTGGGGCCCACCCTTCGTAAGGTTCTCTTCGCTGTGCAGAATATTTGTGGGTCTTGTCAGCGTGCATGGCGCTGAATAATCGGGTTCTGGTTCAATATACCTGCGGCCGTTGAAAGTCAGCTTTAATCAGATTAATGGTTAGCGACCTCGACCTAACCCAGCAATTCAAGACATCGTCTTTAGCTGTTTCTCGGGCCAAGTGCTAGAATAGAGTGACAGGTGACCCTCTGCCAGTGAGGCAGATCTGTTTCACATCCCGAGCGTCTCAACGACGAAGTGTAGAATGTTAAAGGTGCATGCTGGTCTTGGTAGACAACTGAGAGAGTTGTTTTCAATGACCGGATGCACTCAGATGATTGCTCTTGCGGGCGTACCCGCAGGGAGTCCATCAGCTTGCCCGACCACGAGCACGAAAAACAGGTTCGGTGCTGTAGCCTGAATACACCTCTTCTGATGCGCTGGAAGTCTTGAAATCCTCTAGTCTAGGTTTATCTAAACTGCTAGATTCCTGCCTGTCCTGGCCAGAAGCTATCGCAGACGTTTGAGTCAAACATTAGCATGCAAAGCATATCGCCTAACTCCAGAGAGTCGGCCTTTGGGTCCCCTATCCGCAGCAAGCCTCAGGTTCTCTCGTCCTTCGCGCGCCAAAGCCCCCACGTGCAAGCACCCGTGCCCACAGGCTTGAAGCCGCAGGACTAACCTACGAGAAGACCGTCAATACCCTGAACACTTAGTGGCAAAAGTCCGAAAAGGATCTTACAGAGAATCGGTGAAGATTTCAGTCCGCTTCCAAGGCGTGCCGGGCGAAGTGATTCGCTTCACCGAGGGGTCCGTGGATGTGACCTTGAAAGAGGACCTGTGCGAATAAGACCTGTGCCACCCTTCTCTATTGGGATTATCAAGAGTCGCCGTGCGTGGCTTGAGCTGGACTCGGAAATGGACTCAGATACATGTATCCCTTTACAAATTGCACCCAAGAGTCATTGGGCAAGGGCAACCTAAGCGTTGAGCGTGAAAAGTTGGAGAGACTGGATGCGCTTCATGAGGGAAGCGCCGGCAGTCTACAACTCTTGCACCCAGATCAGCTTGAGTCGGTGGCTTCTCTTGATCCCGTGTTTGGTAGACCTCCGTCTTTTCAATGTGCGATCCTTTCAGATTGTCCTCTAAAGCAGCTAAAGCATCCTGCGTTGTGTCTAGCCATGCTGATTCTGCTACTGCTTTCAGGCGGAGCAATCAGGATAAGGACCAGATTGAGGCCTGGGCTGTCATCGAGTGCCCTTTCCAGTTGATCGAGAGACCGAGCATGATCCCAAAGCACCTGCGCTCAAAGTTCGAGTCGTGGAGCGGGCGACTGACTCATGCAACAGCACCCAGCGTGGACAGGTGCCCATGGAAGCTGAGCCATCTCCGTTTGCGAACCCAACGTGGGACGCATGCTTCTCCTCTGCCGATCGTTCTTCCCAGAAAGTTCTGGATGCAGGCTTGATTCCGAAGGAAGAAGTTTCAGATCCGCCACAGGATGCCCCCCCAGGTACAGATTGATTTTTGGAGGGGGCTCCCCGGATCCAATAGGGGACCCCCAATATAGACGCCCAAATAGTAGGATTCCCTTATCATCAGGACCCTAAAAAGGTACCCCTAATTTCGAGAACCCCCCATATAGATTGAACGTTGCAAGTGCTTGGTGTGCAAACAGTATGTAGTTGAGGCCTCGAGATTGTTTGCCGTCACCGACCCACAATTGGATCCGATGTGGAGTGTGTCTTTCCGCCGGCGGCTGTTGGGCACCCGTCTCGCGACCGAAGCATTCTCAGCCGGAACCAACAAGACTACTGTCAATTCAGCTGGTCGTGCGCCGGGATGCCCGCAACATTGAATTTTGATAAAGAACATATGTCTTTCGTCCTACTGCTGGACGGCCAAAGACTGAAAGACTCAAGGCGCCCGTTGAAAAGGAGATCGTGAACCTTCCCAGAAGTACCCCTATGCTTTGCTGGACCATAGCTTGCCATGGATTTCTCCCTTTAGGCCCTTTTCTGGGTTCTACGCGATGTGCATGCTCCCAACGAAAGAGCGAATGCTTATGCGTAGTTCCGCTGGCATTTTCGCGTGGGCTGAATGGCCGTGCAAGGGGGGCGATTAGATATGACTGTGGGGTAAAGACAGAAGATAGAGGCTGCGCTTTATACGGCATCTGCTCCAGCGGACGTCCAGGCTTTACATGTTTGCGTTCAGTAGCAAATGTCTGTCTGTTGCCCTAAGTTACTTGTAGCTCATCTCATCTGAAAACTCAGACTTGTGTGCTCATGGAGGGCCACGTAAGGGCTGGATCAATGGAACCACTGAAGCTGGCGCGCTGTCCCAGCGTGGCATTCGTAGATCCTGAGTTGCCACAGTCTCGTGGAAGAGCGCTCCGGCCATGATGGCGCATGAAAGGCACACCCTGTACGTCAGGGGCCCAGCTTCTCATGAGATTCGCTTGCTTTGCCAGAAACAGACATCTTTGAGACGCTTTACGCCTGGAAGGGTTGGATGCGGGATGGTACTGCTGGTGAACATCGAGCCCTGTGATTTGCTTGTAGGACCAGCTAGCAGGACCAGCAATGCTCGATTGCTTGTCAGGAGAGCTTCCTTCCGGAGCTTGCGTGCTCCATCGCGTTGGGAGCTATTGCTGCAGCCGCTGACGGCAAAGTTGTGCCGAGTAGAGGGATTGGGTTTGGGCCTTGGTTTCCGTAGCTTTGCAAAATCGGGGGGGGAGGGTGGGGTGGGTGGGGGGTCGCAGGGAAAGTCGCAAGTTCTGCGCTGTCCATATTATATATCAAAAAGTACATGCATTGTCACAAGTCTGGGGCCAGGCGCGACAAGGGCTTGTAGCAGAAGGAGGGCTGTTCTGAGACAACCCAACCCCCCACCCCCCGGCACCGCAAGGGCATTTTGACAAGGCCACAAGGGCCCGAAACAACCTGCAGCGATCAGGTTTATAACCGGAGGGGTGACGGGTGTGCTAAGGCTTGTAATCTGCACCTGGCCCCAACTTGACTGATTCCATTCCCAGCAGAGGTAGTCGCCACGTCCCATCACTTCATGCACCCAACAACACCCTCTATCAACCCCACAATGCCTCCTATGCGAGCCCTCATGCTCGAGATCTGCCGCCAGGCTAAAGCGCCGAACCTCGATCACATCAGAGGCCGTTTAGAAAGTTTAACGTTGACCCCCCTACCACCACCTCAACACAATTAGGTTCAATTGGATAACCCTAAAATAGTGGGCGAAAGGGCAACTGGAAACCAGCGATTGTTAGCAACATGTTGGTCGCTTTGATGATGCTACTGTTCGCTTCGGCCTTTTACCGGGCTTCACGAAAGATGCTCGGTTTGTGACAGATCAAAGATGCGTTGGGCAATGGTGCTTGTCCGTCAGTATGGTGAGGTTTCTGCTCGTCTTGATCTTCCAACCTCGTCTTCTTGGATTGGGTTTGTATCAACCAAAGTGGTCCCAAGTAGAAGTTGCAAGGAAACGGCAACTTTGCATTCCCAAACGTATTCTTTTGTTCCGCTAGTGCTGTTGGCTGCCCCTCATTGGCAGGCTGGTTTGTCCAATGCGTGGGCGCCAAGAGCAGACGCGCTCTGGACTACAACTAGCCAGTAGGCATGTCAGCCGCCCGGTCCCCCTGTATGGCACGACAAGAGCCAACTCTGTATCGATTAATTTCAGGTCTGCATAGTCATGATGTCGTAGATGCTCGGCTTCCCAGGCAAGAGACTACACGGTGGCGATTTCCGGGCTCGGGCGCCTCGCACGCTGGACTGAGGTCAGCCCCCCCTCTCCACTCCACACCCCCTCTGCAAAGCCAGGGAACTTGAGACCCTGAACCACTAAACAAAGTCTTGCACCTGTCCTCCGACCATTAGTTCTGTCAACTGCCCAATATAGAATGTACGGCACTGGAAGAAATTGCCCGGCGTCTGCACTTTGGTGATGGTGGTGGTGGTGGTAGTTAAACTGACAAACACATTTAAGAGGCACACAAGAGACCCAGCAGGAAATATGAAAATCATGGACTATTCTAAATCTTAGAAGCCGTTGGGAGTAAGTATTTTCCCGATTGATGAAGGGTTTCCTGGAGTTTTCGAGACAAGCACTAATGTTAAGCACACTAGATGCTGGGAGGAGCTTCAATGGGTTTCCGGTGCAACCGGCCCAAGCCTTACAGCACGTACAGACTAGTTACACGGTTTGTTCCTCCCCAACTTGTATACATCTTTGATATGATGGATAGATATATATATATATACATATGCATATACACACGCAGAGACATGTATATAGTCCGACTTCGTATCCGCACGTTCTACCCGGACCTTCGAAGCCTTGGACTCTGAACCCGAATCTGGGGGCACGTGCCTCGCTGCGGCGATGCTGGAGGTGCCTCGGACACGAACAGCTTCCTGTCATTTCGGTGTTGAAGGTAGAGGGTTGCCATTTAGGGCTCTATACATGGTAGTCAAGTTAGCTCGAGTCAGCAGTTTGGGTGAATTCCGACGGGTCCAGAACCGCGGGTCTTCTCTTGAGGGCCTGGACCACCAGCCAACTTCTAGCAGAATGTAGCAAGAAGCAGAAGCTCCACCCAGCGGGTGCAGACTCTTCTGAATGAGCCTCTCATCAACCCATTCGCAACGAAAGATGCGCAGCAGCAAACATCAACTATTGTGTACAGTTCGCCATAGCGTTTCGAACTCAAATGACAGTAGTAGCCGAATGAAGCTATGAAATCCTCTCGAACCCTGGAGCCAAATTCAAATGCCAGATTCCCGCATCAGAATCCTTTGTGAGGAAAGCGTTGAAGACCTGCTGGGAGATCGCAGATTGCTGAAGCAAGTGGAGGAGCGCTAAGAATGCTTAAATTCATGGCCTTGACCGCTGTCACTATCTAGAGCATGACAATGTCGAAGCTCCAGGTGTTGAAGCGACCTTTGTGTGATCGACGAAGTTGAGAATTGGGGCTGTGAACTTTCGATGAGGATGTGATGTGCTGTAGGTTTAGGGTTTAGGCTTTCAGCTGAGAGTCTTGGGAAACTGAAAGGGCTCAGGAGGAGTCGCAAAAAGAGGGGGCATGGCAACGCGAATGCTCTCCTGGTGTGCTGTTGCGCTCATGTGGAGGGGGGACATAGAATCCCTTGGTCTTGTCATCTTTTGGCTCCGTCACGGGCTGTAAGTGTCCCACAATTGGGGTTCGTGTTGTCTTTGTGTGTCGTGGCCTCGCGCCTTGGTGCCGTGTTCTCGATTCGTGTCTTCGTGACGTGTTGCTGTCGATGCCTCGTGGGTCCTCGACTGCGGTGGGGGCTCGTGGCTCGTGACTCATCGCGACTCTGTTCATGCTCTCGCATCTCCTGGCAGGATTTGCCTAGCAGGATGTGTTGGAGGGTAGCCTGCGTGAATTGCCTGTTTTCAGCGCCTGGCTTGTCGAGCTTCACCGCTGCTGCTGCTCCATGCCTCACTGCCTGCAACGCTTGAAATGCACTGTGCATCATGTGATGTGTATGATAGGGCAGAACAAAGGGTGGAGTGTGGACATTCAGACAATCGCCTAGTGCATCAAAAAGGCCGGTCCCCCGCCCCCAAAGTCTTGCATCGAACCTTCCGGCAGTTAAGTCATGCATGTGTGAGTAGGATATTGGTACGACAAGTCCATCATCATCATACCTCCTTGGAGGTCGACATCATGTCGTAAGGGCTGTAATGAAAGTCCTGGTGCTTTTGCACATGCGCTTTGACTTGATTTTCAATATGATCAGCCAACACACAAGAATTTCCATAGAATTTGACTTCCATTGTTTCTGCCTAGTTTGAGGGAAACGCCAGGTAAGTTCCTTTTCAGGTCAGGCCCACATGCAGAAACGCTGCGTTTCCAGACGTTGGGTTAGTGTCTGTGGCTGGAGCTTACTGAAGGTGGTCTGCGATTTGCCAAACCATTTTGGCCCTTCGGAATGCAAGCGTTCGGATCTGTTGGCTCAAATGCCGTAAATGATTCATCGAAGGTCGCGGAGACTAGCAGTTTGGATGGCCAGTTGAGGGTTGTTGTTCCGCTCATGTTTTCGGAAGAGTTCGATCCGTTTTGCTCGGATTTTTTTTGCAGGGGTGGTGGACCCAAGCCTGAAAAATGGGTTCGGATGAGACTCGGGCGCCACCTTTGAGTAGCAGAGGTTCAGATAGAACCACGAAGGGAGGTTGGGAGACCTTCATCTAACCTTTCGCTACATTGCCACACGTTCGGCCACTAGCCTCTCATTTTGCCTTCGGTATACAGCAGCAGCCGTAGTTTGGCGACCACCGATTGTGTTTTCACATCACCTGAAGTGCTATCAAGAGTTCGGCACAGGAGCATGGCACGGGCTTGTCACCACGCTGGGGCGACTGTGTGGCCATCTGCTACAACATCTGGGAGTTACCAAAGGCTCCTTACGGGTTGTTCAATTGACACGGAGACAGACGCGAGCCTGTAGCCGATCAGCTGATGTGTCCGCCCAATGATGTGAGTATTCTCTAGATTCGCTTGCGACTCAGACAGCCGGCTGGTCGGACCAGCATGTCGAAGAGTCTAAGATCAAGAGCTGGTGGCTACATGGTTCCTGGCACTTGCTTTGCTCGGCCGAATGTTGTGTTCGAGGCAACGAGGCCAGATGGAATGCCAGCAGATGACACCACACCTGCCGCATGGTGCATCGAATCGGAAACCCGAATCTGTGTTGCTGCTGAACAGTGAGATTCAGTGAGTGCATCTGCAAGGGCCAGGCGCAGCAAGTCTTGCTCCTCGAGCCCACGACCTGCAGGCCAGCAGTTGTTGAGTCGGATCACGGGTGGCGGCTAGTCTCTCAGAGGTCCGAACCTGGCAGCAGTCAGGAGCAGCACTGCTGCATTGTGACATCCATCGGAGTAGCCGAATTCGACACACAAGGGCAGGCTAAGTTCACAGAATCTGTTGCGCATGCCCTGCGTAGTTTTCTGCAGGCATGTCGTCGGCGAGCAAGATGAGACTTGGCTATTTACAGTCCAGGGCAGGCCGTATGCAACAGCTGAGCCTGTGCACCGATTGAATTGCAATCTTTGTGCATCTTTTGTTCCATGTTCCGGGCCAGCAGACAAGTTTGCAGATTGCCGAAGAAACATCCAGCTACACGTAGCTGTCTTCAGGTTTCCTTGTAGCGCTCCATGAATGGGTCGAGACCTTATTGAACTTGTGTCCCTCCCGCCCCAGAGCCACGCATGTGTACATGCACGTGACATTAATCGAAATATACCGATGCAACACTCTACATATGTAGAATGTAGACATGCATGTGTACATTGTCCTTCCTCTGCTTCGCAGGTATGAAGCACAGGCTCGCTGTTCTACCCATAGAGTAAGGCCCGCAACATTACCAGAGCCCACGCTAAGTGCTGGGGATGTGAGCCCCGAAGCCTCCCAACCATGTTCGCTCTGCCAACATGCCTATCCATCACAAGGGTCCAGGGCCTGTGTATGCCAGGACGGCTTCCTGCCACACCAACTCTCCGAAGTTCTTCTTTGCTCCATGCAAGTCGCGGAGAAGGTGGTCTTTCAAGGGTCAGGTTGCGGTGGGCAAGCTTAGTGGGAATTGCACTGGTGGCGTGCCGGTTCTCATGTCATGATAGCAAGGACAAGGAAGTTTCATGGCAGCACTGTTGTGCGCTTGGCTGTTCTGGCTGCCGGTAGCACTATGTTCTTCAAGCACGTACCAGTAGCTCAGTAGCTGATGACAGCATGGCATGCCAACACAGAAGCCTGCAAGCAGACTTGACAGGCAAGCTTCCTCATTGACCTGGAAGCCTTTGGCGTGGCCCTGAAGCACCCGCAGCTCCGAATGTCTGGTTTTGAGCGCGTGGATGTGGAGCCGGGGCTACAAGGGATCAGAACTTGGAGATTTCGAGTCCTTGAAGTAGGACTTGTGCCATCTTGGCAAGATCGCGAGCCTCTGAGGAGAGGATTCAGTGCACCATCCAGCTTCGGGACATGCAGCGTGGCCCCGAGGATGCTCGACTGCCTCGAAGAGTTCGCATGTGAGTTCCCATTGAAAAAAGGCTCAAGTCTATCTAAGAAGTATAGGTCCAAAACCCCAAGTTGGGGTCAGAGACAACAGCAGTATAGGCCTGCCACAACATCCGCCGAAACATGCGCCGCAGCCGGGTCATGGTCAGCAGTGTGCCATGCGCGAACACCCAAGAATCGTCGACCTCATCCCGATCTGAACATATAGCCTTCAGGGACCAAGGGTTTGCATTGATGAAGGGTTTCGCTGTCACCAGCAGCTGGATTTGTTTCGGCTAGGAAGCTTAGCCTTCAGATTTCAGGCCTTTGACCCTCTGCGTCATGTTCTACCATCGAGTGGCGAGTCTGGAATGACGCTGCGGCTGCCGTGGTCCCAGAAGGACGAGCCGGGAGATCCTGGGGCTGACAGTTCCAGATTCAACAGGGCATGTAAAAAAAAACCCGGCGTGCATTCATTCAAAGAGGTTTTGTCCAGACATTTGTTGATGTGCGGATCCTGCTCGAAAGCATCGTCTCGACTGTATGACGAACATGGCCTTGTTTGCACAGTGCAGCCGCAATGCTGTGATGTGTTCGGGTTGTGGGGCGATCTGCGAGTGTTGTTGCCCGAAGAATCCGAGGAAAAGCGTGCTGCTACCCAGCATGCCAGTTTACCTTTCCAGCGCTGTACGGTGAGTTTGGAATTTGAAGCCCGCGATGCTTGGCGAACAAAAGTTCCTGAATCTAGCAAGCACATGAAACCACCCTATCGGCAAAGGCAATGGCATGGTCCTCTTGTCCAGCCCAATCTTTGCAACATGTCCTTTGCATGCCGACACGCACCTCCACGGTCTTGTGATGGGAAGACTCGGGGATTCCCTTCACTGCGGCGCTAAAAATATTGTAGCCTCCTCAGCAACTTGTTCACCATGGATGCAGTGGTTTGATCAAGCTAGGCGGGAGCGAAAAAGCAACAGGAGCTTGTGTCTAAGCACCCGGCCTCGGCCCTACATCCCAAAACCCATGCAAGCGACACCTCTAACTAGCTCAAGTAAGCATACTGCACAGAGCCTGAGCCACATGTAGACAAGGATGCGGACGGGCATGCCCTCCTCACAACCAGGGGATGGCGCGGCCGACAAGGCCTTGATGGATGCGGGAGCATCATCCTACTTTGAGCAATATGAGTTGTTCATGGACCCTGGTTCCGAAAATGAGTCATAATCGCAGCTGCAGTCACTGTTCTACACCGAAGTCCGCGAAATTCGCGAAATGACGGCGAGTTCAGAGAAAGGGTAGACAGTCAGAGTCGTCAGAGCTGCAATTGCTTGCAAAGCGGCAAGCTGCTGCAGGCTGTGGCGAGCTGCCAGACTGCGTGGCTTAGGCTTAAGTCGTACCCATTATTGGCGATTCTTGCCAGGTTGGATAAGGGGGATCAAAGGGTCCGGGGCCAGCCAGCATGTGGGGCATGCGAGCTGTCGGTGGCGGGTTTCCGTGGACTACTCATCCGGAGACCCTGAACCTCCTACTCAGCTACTTCATGCTATAGAGAATGCAGGGACGGGACCCTTAGCATGCACAGGAGTCTCTTTTCCTTCAGAGTCTGGATCATGAGTGAAGCCCGTAGACGTCGTAGACTGATCCTGCACACCCCGGATCCCCTAGGTAAATTAAGCTGTGAACAAATTCCCAAAAACCCTGAGGCCTAAGGCCTGGAACCCCCAGCAAAGCCTAGCAGCTCAGGCGGACATGTCTGGTTGCGGTTTTTTTTTTTGATGTCTCGGCTTCGGGAAATGTTTACCGTTGTTTCGTTTGCATCAGAACTTCTTGTCTTGGCTCTGCGCGCATCGAGGTTGAGGTGGCTCTGCCGCTCCTTGCGCCGGGGCAGTCTGCAGAACTGCGGTGTGCAACCCTTCAGGGTCTGCGCGGCTGGCCCGGGACAACCCCGCCATTGCCGGCTCTCCCACTGCATTGTGGGCAAGGGTGGCCTAGCTCCAGCGTAGCTGTGAAGGGCGGTCGTGTCGAGTGACTTTCGGGGTTGGTGGGAACTGCGGCCAGTGAGGCAAAGCCATGAAGTCACCCGACAATGCAAAAATTGAGCGAGTACTTGATTAAGAAAGCATGAGAAATGTTGCAAAAATAGGTTTAGGGGCTTAAAGCAACAGTCTCAACACATGAGCTCTGGGAATGAAGTGCGTCGAAAAGAAATTGGGGCGGGGTCTTGAAATACATCCACGATTCGCTGGTTGTGCTTCCAGCAAGCGCTGTTGCATCTGACATAGCATCAGCCTTGCCTTCAGAAACCTGAGACCAACCTGGTTAAGGCTCGCAAAGTCCCGGGTTTGCTGCAAAATCGAGGGAACCCTGCCGGCCAGGGGACATAAGTGTAAAATTGCAGGAACCAACCTTTTGCATGGCTTATCAGTGCCGAATAGTCACAGTCTTTCACGGTAACGCTGCACGTGAATAGCCTGTACTTCGAGACCACCTAGACCTAGAGTTTGAATTGCTCATATGCAGGGCCCTTGCAATCCCTGTCGAGCAAAAAGACGAGAGTAAACACGGTCACGGAAGCCCAGGGCAGGGTACAGCTTGCCTCGATTTTGAATTGCAATCACATTTAATTTGTTGCCAAACGCATGCTGCGAAGTTCGCAAAAGCCGCAATATGAAACCTCAGCATCCTTTGTGTGAGGTCAGACTGCTTTCGTGCAACAAGAGTGGACCGATCTTTTCTGGGTCACTTCCCTAATGAGAAGAACATGACTCTTTATGACTTGCATGTAAGCACAGTTCAATCGGAAAGGTGCTATTCCGCATTGCCGTTCTGGCCCGCGACTGGGAGCCCGTGGCAGACCTGGAGCTACACGTAAGGGAAGAGAAGGCCCGTGCCTTTGTGGATCAATGTCCGACTATGGACTAATGGTTGCTGTACTTACCTTATGGACTTATGGCTGTTGTACTTACTGCAGCATGAGTTCAGGGCGCGAAGAGCGTTACAAGAACGTTTGTCTTGCTTGGCAAGCAAGGACCATGCCATCACTTTGGTCAAAGAGAACCGCAACCTCTTGGCCCTCGTCAAGCTCTCCGCTATCCTCGCTTGCTGCCCTTCCGGCTCTGCCCTCGCCCCGAAGTTCCGACTCGAGTTCCTTGGCCGAAGCTGCACGCGGGACTTTGGTACCAAAGGGCGACGGCCTTCGCAGTCGAGGTGCTTGCAACAGCAATGCGTGGCGCAGCTGCGCCTGAACTTGCCATCCGCAGAGTCATCAGCTACAGCAACTTTCAGCAATCAGTTTTGCAGCCGATGATTGCGTGACTATACTGCTCAGCTTTTGGGCCGTAGGGATCCGTAGAGCACACGACTAAGCTCTGGTGTGGTTGCAAGACGCTGCAAGCATGTTGACGCGCCCTGAGGCCCTCTTGCTAGAGTACGGCCGGACAGCGCGGCACCTGAATCTACATGCCCGCGCCGTGCTGGCCCACAGCCCCGGCAGAGCCGTTGATGACCTCCTTGCCTCAGCGCGGCCACTTTCCTGAAAATATTGCCAGTGTTTGCGTCCCTTCTCACTTCTAGCATCCGGAGCAGTTCTTGTTGCTTGCGTGAGCTGCTGACACGGCCGAAGATTGCACTTGAGGCTGAATCCCAGCTGCGCCACCACTGGCCGACTACTGAAGCGGGCCCAGCGTCAGCTGGAGCGAACCTCAACTGCAGTGAAATTCAAGATCGAGCCTGAGCACATATGCAGGTATGCCTGGATGTTCGTGGAGCATAAAGCTTCAAACCTCTACGTGCCATCTGCGGCATGCCCAGCTTGCCAAACACCCAAAAGTCCCTAAAGAGAGCCTTGGCCAGGCACCCAGCAGGCCCGACGCTGGTTCGACGGCCGAGGCGCCGAAGCGAGGACGGCTGCGGCACCCCGGACAGCCCTAAGGCCCTACGATGTTTCGATAGGCCGCAAGACACGACGGCCCCTTAAGCCCGAGATCAACCCCAAGGCCCACCGTGCGGACTTGTGCTACCAGTGTGGGCGCCTCCGCGGTGATGGCCATGTGGGCGAGGCCACCGAGGGGCTTCTTCCCAAGAACCCAGAATCGAGCCGGCCTGCTCGGACCCAGTCGGAAACAGAGCTCATATGTCTGCTTGCTTCTGTATGTGACTCGAATGTGAGAAGAACTCTTTTCAACTCCACTACCCGTCACTATCACTTCAAGCATCCGAAACGTGGTAAAATTATGTGCTGGCAGCGCCCTGGCCCAGTAACATCCAAGAACAAAATCAACCCCCTCCTGCGCCCTTCCAGAGGCAGGCTCGAAAATGGCCGGAAGGTACCTCTGTGAGGCCAGCTCAGGGGGTAAGACCGATCAGCGTACGTCTGAGCATGCATATTCCGGGCAGAGGAAGCTAATTGGTCAGGAGCTTTGGCGCCTAACGTTGGGGCTTCCCGCGATTGCTCGCAGCAATGTAGCCACCACTATAAAGGACCCGCATGACGAAGATCCTGTGCAACGCAAAGAAGAAGCAACGCACAAGAACATTTGGTCATGTTTGAACTCAGATGCTGCAATCCTGGTCTTGGCCCGAAATTCGAAAAGCTCAGCATTAAACCAAAACCTTTCTCAGGAGTGCTGGAGCTGCTTTCGTAAGATCCGGCGCTGTCAACAGCTTGAGCTGAATCGTCGGGTGGACAAGGTGGGTAAGGGCGGGATGGTCAGGGGACAGTGCAGAGTATGCAAGGACTGGTCGCTGTGCTAATGTAGCGCAGCAGGATGGAAACGAGGATCCCAGTCCATCTTATAAGTGTTGTAGTTTGGGTTCTTGCCAATTGCATTTCGTGGCATGATTGAATTTCTCAGAACTTTCCGCTGGACAGCACGCGCATTGCCTCAACATCCGCAATCACAACTTTGTTCTTTTTTCGGTGCATGTTTCTCTTGGTTTTCGTAGTGCGCTGCTCTCAGACTACGATTGGATACTCATATTACAGCACGATGTCTAGCATGGCAGCAAGTGTGTCATTTCCTTGCTTCCCTCCGGCAGCAGGCATTTACCCTGGGCAGTTCTTAAAATTACAGCACCGCTATGCAGCACCTTAGTAGTTGAGCCTAGCTGCTTTGCTGATTGTTGCTCCTCTTCATCCTCTTCATCCTTCCCTGCCTAATTAAGACTGTTACTGCTGCTCTTGGGTGCGGATTCTTCCGTACTACTTGCTTGGAATTTTTTTTTGGGGGTGGGGGGGGGGGGTAATTGCGTGCAGAGCCATCTGCGACAGAAAGAACTCCAACATAAAACCCTTCATAACTGAGATTCCTTGTCTGAAAAATCCCAGCACCTCAACCCCATAAACCCTAAATCTCGTCCTTCCGATAGGAACCCAAATGTCCCCCCCACGCGTGCTGGAAAAAGGCCACCTACTCCGACTACAGCACAGCTACGGATGAACTGCCCTCCCTGGAGGACCGTTTTTGGAAGAACTTGCAACCGGAGAGCTTCCAGAAATTGCGGGCCGTTGTGATGTAAATGACGTACTCAGAATAGCGACGTGAAGCCTACATCAGGATGTGCCTCAAGACTGGGACTGGCGACATCCCATGCTGCTCGGGCTTGGTCTGTAATGTGCTCTTACTGTTGAATGTGATGCGTGCAGAGAGTACTCATGCGGAATGCCCTCTTTTGCATGCATCTCTTTGCGACCGGGGTGCCTCGCTTAACTGCAATCCAGCGTTTGCCATCGCATCATCACGCCCCAACTGGGCCCCAACATGCCCACGCAGAAAGTCGACATAGAGACGATGGCACACAGAACCACGAAGCCATCGAGTCCGCCATCCCCAACACAGGGGAAGCTCGGAATGTCCTCGTAGAGCAACAAAGCCCCTTTATCATAATCAGGGTCCCGGGAAGAAGTAAGGTGGCAGCGTGCAAGTGCTGAGCACCCGGATTGGCAGCTTTGCGGCCAGCGGGAGGTGCCTTCTCCTTTGCTGTTCTTGTTGTGGGGTTTGCAGCTTTGGAGACCTCAGGATTTGTGAAGGGTGGCTTTTTGCGGGGAACATGTTATATGACACATACCTTGAAAGCTTCCCACCACGTTCGGCAATGATCCTGCGCCTCGAGGCCATCAAGACCGAAAGCCTCCTGATTGCAGCTATGTACTGTGCATGTGGCTTGCGTAAGGCAGAAAGAGTCAAAGTACCGTAGGTTGGGCCTTGCTTCCTTGCAGGCTGGCCAGCTGCTGATTAGATGACCACCCGGCGCGAGATGGGCGTGACCAGTCTTTGCACCAGGGACCCTGCAAAAGTCCTGCAAATGATGCCGGATCTGGACATCACGACATGAAGGTGAAGGAGTGTTGGGGACGGTTTTGCCGCCACTGCAACCAGATGTTTATCCACAATAACCCCGAGAATCCATGACATTTGAATGGTGGCCCGTCATCTTGCCGGACACGATGCTGCAGCTTTCCGCCGTTGCCACCAACCTTGCGACCCAGGTCAGAAACAGGTCGGGTGGAAGAAGTCAGGGGCGTTTCAAGTTTCAATTTTCATTGATGGACTACGACCTGGAAGCTCAGTGGCATGAGTGGGATGAGTGGGATGATAAGGAGAGATGGCCCTGCGCAGTTGTTTGGAGACAGATGTCGCCCAATGGCACAGTCACGTCAGCCGGACAGCCAGTTGTTCGATGGACCCTCGGGCAGCGCCAGCTTGTGAGCAGCATCGCCACGATGTGGAGTCTTGCGCAACACTGACCAAAACAAAGTGCCTCTTGCATGCTCATGGTGCAAGCCTGGGAGTGCATTGCAAGACATCGCAGGATATAGCTGTGGTTTGCGATAGCCGGGGCCTGGTGTCTGCGTCAGCAGGCTTTGGAACTGTATGGCGAGTTCGTCCAACGCGAGGTTGGATGCTTTGATGTGTCGGATGCTCATCAGGTCCCAAAATACGAGTTGGACGAAAGGACATGCTGTTTTCTGCTCGTATGGGGGATGTTCGGATCTTCATCATGCGCTGGCATAGCCATACAGCACCATCGATCACTCCATATCCAACCGAGCGCACCATTTTTGGGTATTGCCGAATGACGGGTACCCGTAATGCCGTAATACACCCCAAGATGCTAAACATCCTGATTACAGGAGCTCCCAAAAAGGGTCCCCCCCCCCCCCCCCCCCTATTTGAAGAAACCCCCCATGTGGGGGCTTCGAATAGTGAAGAGCGGGCTTTTAAAGTTAAAGGAGGCATCCGGGCAGTCAGGTTCCGGCCTTGTCGCAAGGCAGCCACGACGGCTCAAAATCGCAAGCGCCTATTAGGGTTTAGGGTTTAGGGTTTAGGGTTTAGGTTCCTGCTGCAATTTCAGGTAAGGGAAGTTGAGTCAGACTCGGAATCTGCCAGTCAGTCCACCCAACTAGTGGTTGGTTGGCAGGGCCCAGAGAAGATCTGCCACGCTGCCGCAGTGGGGGCCGCAACGTGCTTCCACACTTTCGGCGTTTCGGGCTTTGCAACGTTGAGACGTAGAAAACATGAGCGTTTTAGGGGCAGACGGGTGATGCAGAGATTGCCGGATTCAGAGAGGGTGCAGTGCCCGCTTTCTCGTGAAAGTACGCGAGATTAGCAGGGAGAGCAAGAGCTACAAAAACCAGATGTCAAAGCCTGCTTGGGAAAGCAGCTAGACTCCTAGAACCTACTGAGGTTGCAGCGTGCGAGCGCGGTACGCAGTGGGCACGGACCTAAGCAGTTTTTGACAGACACCTCACGCTCGCCTCGTGCGTAGTATGCTAGCAGATATCCATGCAAAGATCCCAACGTTAGGTCTTGAATTTGACCAACAACATCTGTGATGACTTACAATGAAACTTTACATTCACACCCCGAAACTACCACCCCGAATCAACCCCATACTCACCTGCACTCTCGAAACCCTATCCCAGCAGCCAGTTGGCTTGAAGGTTTCTCTAGGATGAAGTAGCAATCAGGCACAGACCACGCAACACATTCCTGAGACCTTTTCCTCCAAGACATCCAAGAGCCGGCCTATTTGAAGTTGTGGACTCTCTCTGCCCATCACCGCCTTTTGGGGGGGTTGTGGCAGGTTCGACTCACACTCCGACACGAGGGCAGACATTGCAAAAAGTGCATCTGCTCTTGCTTGTCGCGAAGACTGGGATGACCTGCTGCCGCCCGCACATGACAGGGATGCGATCTTCGCGGGGCGTCATCCAATTCCACGGCCGGCTCTTGAACATGAGTCGGCATGATGCCCAGCCATAGTACTCGCGGTTTGCCTAAACCCGCGGCACATGATTTCTGGTCTCCTCCGACAGCACGCCAAGTGGTCAAAGATGGAGAGCGCTCCTCGGATCTTAAAGCTCGCCTGGAACACACGAGCACCTCCAATCGAGGTGTTCTTCAGGGGCGAGTGCCTGTTTTGGGGTCTATGAGGAGGTCGTCCTGGCAGGAAGGACTGGATCTGCTTTACACCATGTGCCTCGGTCAGACTCTGTGGTGCATGTCCTGTCTATCTTCGTCATCATGTCTACTGCACGCAAGAAGCCCAGGCTCAAATCCAAGATCCAAGTCGACACAGTTTGCTTCAACACGGTCGCCACGAAGACCGAGAAGCAGCACTGCTGGTTGTGGGCGGTGCACTTGCTGCCTGTGTGCCAGTGCGCTGCCCTCGTGCCAGACCAGGTATCCGGATCAGCTGTTGCAAGGTGCTATACCCGCTATCCTCTTACGGTATCAATCATCGTCATGACTGTGCAGTTGCAGCATCGAAACACTCTACGGATCTTGGGTTACACCAGCAAGCCCGAGACGTTGACCTGCCTGCAGCCCCCAGACAGGTGGGATTCAACATTGCCATCTCAGCCAGCAGCCGCACAGCGTGGCGGACCTCCTTGGACCTCCTAGGCCATGGGATGCTACGGGATGTCTCGGGCCTAGAAGTTGCAAGCGTGGATATTCACGTAGAGTGTCATTGAAAGGCGGGTTACGCCCTGGGACGCTTGATCTGTAGGAGTCTGCAGTTCTTTGCCTGCGCCTTGTGCAGAAGCCTACATGCTGTGGCATACGCCCCGGCATACATTCACCTAAGCCAAGACGCAGGGGCCCTCGACGAGGGGCGGCTGCGCCGCGACGCCTTTGGCCTCAGTGCTTCCCTGCGTGGTTGCAAGGCCATTGGATTTGCATAGGTTCACGGCATGTCGAGGCCACAGCGGATGTCTCGCCAAAGAATGCTTTGGAAGTTGTTGTTGCTTTCAGGATCTGTGAGGCATGTCAAATCATGTCAGGGAGCAAAAGTAGAACCATACGTAGGCCCCATAGAGACAACACTCCGCTCGGAGGAAGCATGGGTTGTTGCAGCGGCGCTTCTGGATTCGGCGGTTCGACACGGGGCCAGCTGCCATGACTCGTCTGTCTTGTGGTTTCGGTTCCAGGGTGAGGTTTGCTACGGCCGGCCGGTCTGTAACATGTTGAGTCAGGCTTTACAAGAACTTTGACTTTGTAAGCAGGCTGCGCGTCCGAATTGTTGCGCCACCGCGACCCCCGCACTCTATAAACCGCCACAGGGCAAGTGACCAGCAAGGTATTGAGAATTGCCAAGACACTCCAAGAAAGGAAGCCAAAAAAGGATGAGGACAAGCAGGCGAAGTGGGGGCATGCTAGCCGCCGGCCTGGACCGCATGCAAACGAAGTTGCAGATTCTCACCGCTTGCGACAATTAACGGTTGCCCTCCAACCTGACATCCCTTGTCAAGTTGAGGTGAAACCTCTGATGGTTCCCGTGCCTTTCAGTCTTGAAATTAAATGTCTTGAAGCTTCCGCCTTCCGTGCCTTTCAGGTATCCTTGAACCTCGTTGTTTGGAATGCGGCCATCCGAAGCACCGGCTCAGGCTCCCAGCAAATGCCGGCAAAAAAGTTCCCATGTAGTCTATCGAAAAGATCAGTGGGGCAACCATGGGCATCCTGTCCCGCACGCGAGGAAGCTGGTGCCAAGCCCTTTGCCTCCTTCGTCAGGTAGCAGCTGAGGCTTGTGGGCAGGAGCTGAAGCAAGTAACCCAAACGCCACATTGGGATGCGCGCAGCACAGCTATGCGTCCTGATGCACTGTCGAAGCTCACAGCCTTACGGCTAGCAGAAGCATGGTGCATGATGGAGCATAACATGCCTCCTGCTCATTCCCCGTTAGTTCCATATGTCAAAGCTCACTTTTGGAGCTTTGCAACTTGTTTTAGCTGCCCTTGCTGTTATGACCCACCCTCGGCCCCCCCGTTCCGGAGGCGTCGCCAACCTCTGCCTCCTTTGGCGCAGCCGCTCGGACGAGTGACGTGTGTATGCAATTAGTGTGCAATTAGTATGCAGTATGCCCGAAGGTTCCCTGTCATCTCTCTGCTGGTGCCCATAGCTTTTGTTGCCTGGGAATTTGCAGTTGCGATCCCTGACCTTCCGCATGTCGCAAGCACACGTGATATGACCTCAGCCTCAGCCTCAAAGCATAAACAGGCTGCCGGGCCTGAGTGTTGCCGGGGGTCCGTACTCGAGACCGGGTCCGAGGTAAACCTTACGCGATCCTGGTAGAAATCGCGTATTGCTGTACAATTACCAAACCTTCTCTGAGCATTTGCCCAGTGAGTGCGCCAAGGTGCTGCACGCCTGCCGCAGCGCAGGCGCATGTGCAGGGGCAAAGTTGACTTGTGATGCTGTGCGGTTGTATGATGTTGTATGAGGTTGTATGGAGTTTAAACAAGCGCACGCCATAGCCCGAAGCCAAGCCGCCAGACTGATGCAGCTTCTGAGCTCTAAGCCTCTAAGCGCTTCGGCACACCCGGCCTAAACCTCTACTTTTCGAGAGCACATCCACTCAGCGAAGAAACTGAGATCACGTCTCTGCATCTCAGAGTCTCCCGCCATGTTTTTGCGCACAACGCTTTCGAATAATCCTGCGAACCCTGCAGCATATCCAGAGATGCTTAAAACTTAAGCTGACAGAGAACACGAGAATCGACGCAGGCGCCTGGCATACATCCGCTTGGCTTATGGAGTCGTCGGGCTATGCTCGCGTGCCCCCCAGCGCGGTTAGCGCCACTTCGTTGCTTGGGGCATTCAAGGACTGAGCTGCTTGTGGGCATGACCCGATGATTGTGAGATGAATATTTGAGGGCTGGCCCGTGGTGCAGGCAATAAGGGCAGCAGTCGAGTCCCTTGTGACAAACGGGCCGGTTCGTGGACCAGTGGAAGCACTCATCAGGAAAGAAAGCACGAGTCCGGCAGATGCGCAAACATTGAGGCCCGACACGAATCGGAAAGAAAACAATGAACGAGACAGGACAGATTCCGGAAAGAACAAGTCTCGGGGTCACGTCACGAAAAGGGTTTGTTAATATACCCGACCACGACTTGGCATGCTTTGAGGGTTTACGGGTTTGGGGGGGGGGGAGGGCTTTGAGGTTTTGGGGATTGGCGGCCTTCAAGCCTGTATCCTTGAGGGCTTTTGGGCTTGAGGGTCACTTGAGATGGTGAAGGATTTCTGAGGGAAGAGGGCTTGGGAGATCCTCTGCTGCAGCCTCCTCTCGTGATGTGCATCTAGCCGTCATGAGGGGGAGCAGGATCTCAACTGAATAGCTGTAGCAAAAGGAAGGCCGGTCTCGGCACGCAAGCGGGTGCTGTCGGAGCTCTAGCGGGCGTTGTGTTTCTCTACGGGCCGGTCCCGATTTGTTGCAGGGTTCCACAAGTTGATCACGAGCAGGTGGTAAGCTGGTCGCTGGCGCACCACCTGCTCATGATCAGTCTATTTGTGCATCGTACGTTTTTCGAGATGGAATGTTGTCGTAGCAAGCAAATGTGTGACGTCATCTCAGAACCCAGCCCTCTCATGATGCGATTTTTCCTGGAAAGGACGCATTCCTTGTCATCTCGCGACCCGATGTGTTGTGAGGGAAGGGAGATCTTATACATGAAAGCCCGCCCCGCCCACCTCTCATGATGCTTTTTTCTAAAAAGGCTGCTGCGCTCTTCGCGGGAGTCTTTAGCCGCCTGCGAAGCACCCTTTAAATGCCTGCTCCTACTTCTGAGGGAGGCCTTGGGAAAGAAAACGCCCGGAACAACACGCACCTACTTCTGACCTACTATATCCCACCATATCCAGATGCGTAAATTTCCGATGGGCTCAGCAATGCTAATGTCATGGTTATAGCCTACTCCTCTCATCATAATGTGTACAGCATTTTCGCGCCCACACAGCTTTTATGATGCGATGTGTACTGCCGCACAAAACGACAGGGCAGCTCATCTTGAATCCCCTCCTCTTGATGTTATTGCCCTCGAAAGGGGATCTTAGTTGAAATGCGGCAACAAAACGTGGACTCCACCCCTCTCATGAAGTGGTCTTTATCAGAACTAAACCCCCCCTCTCATGATGCGATCTTATCCCTGGAAGCCTAGAAAAGGAAATGCTCCATTGCCGTGGAAGTCCCACCATCCCTCCCATGCGATGCTGCTTGAGGGTAAGGGATCCCACCCCTCTCACGACCCCTCTCATGGTGCGAGTTTTTCTTATCTTTCGAAAGACAAGGAGATCATGGACATGTGTATACATGTGTTAAAGTGTTCAAGTCCTTAGGCCGCCAAAGCTAATGTTCGGGGCTTGGGCCCAGTTTCCTGAACTTCCAGGCTCGCCAACCGGGCACCTGATTGGTGCTTGTGGGCTAGGATAAACACCTCAAGCCAGCAGAATGAGATGTAGCCTCAGGAGTCCTTACAGAAAGGGCCACGCATTACCCTCGGTCCACGCAAGGGGCAGTTCGGAGGAAGGCTCGAATGTTCCGCACCACACTTCCATCCAACAAGAGAAGGGGTATTTAGCTGCCGGTGAGCTTTGCAATATCTGCTTGTCCATGAGTCAATCTTGTTACGTTTTTTTCGGCCAGTTCAGCAGTTGGGATCCTTGCGCTTGGTGAGGAGGCAGCTGTGGCTTGGACGAGGGCGCTGGCAGTCGTTTCAAGACTTGTTCGAGGAGCATACCGCACGGGAAAGGGAGTTGCGTACCAAGACCACGCAGACAGTTTGATGCTTCTGCTGGGTATATGGTAGTCCTGGTAGTCAAAGGGCACCCTTGCCGGGTGTGTCCTGGTTGCGATTCAAGGTTGGGAGAAGTGTGTTGTGGTCACGCAGAACCTAACGAGCCACAAGCGCCCTGGATGCACATGCCCTGGAAGGCAAGCTTGAGCCAGATATGGGCTTCCATCGGGTGACCTGGCTGATTCGAGAGAGAACCGGCGTGCCTATGCGGGAACCTCTGGTGCCAACGGCTTGGGCCAAGGCAAATGTTCAGGTTTCATGTCCGCCGGGTTGTTAGGTTTTCAATATGGAAGTCGGCAAAAGTAGGTTGGGGTCTGCAGTCCACTTTCTCTTCTCGGGCGTCCTTGCCTGCAAAGGGCGGTTGAAGGATTGTGTCAAGCCGAGTGAAGAGCAGGGCCACGTGACACATCATGAGGTTTGCATCGCAACGATTGCTAGCGACTGGATGCGGTGCCTGACGGCGATGCAGCATGTGGCGTGGCAGCATGTGGCGTGGCAGCATGCGTCATTCAGATTTTTCTTCTTGGGCCCGTGTCGATTCTGAAGCGTGAAGGCAACCTTAGGCCTAATTATGCAGGGCAGTCGTCCAATGTAGTTCACGCGGGCCTCGCCGGTCCGAGGTCACGTACACAGTGTCGGAGCTGCGTGGCTGCAATGGTGGATGTCGGTCGGCAGTGATGGCCGATGCACATATGAGCCCACCCATGAAGAAACCAGACGCGTTGAGGGCGGATCCCTCATAGCACCAGTCTCTACCACTGACTGCATAATTGCTAGTTTCTGATGACAGTTCGTTGGCTGTAGAAAGGAACTTGCATCGTATTTCAGGTGGCAGGGGCTGGACAAGGAAGTTCGAGGTTCCTCGGAAACGATCCTGCATATGATCCGAGGGAGATGCTTACAGATCTTTCTGCTGCGGCCGCAAAAGCTGGCAACTTGGAGGAAGATGAGGCAGTCCCATTCGTGCAGAGCTATTGGACTCTAAAGTTATCTGAAAATCCTCCCCCTTCAACAGGCCAAGCTGTGCTGTATCCGTGTATCCAAACCCTTCATCAATAAACCTTGCAGGTCCTGTTGGTACCTTAAACCCTATCTTTAAAGGCACAGTTTCTTCCCTTTTCTTCTTCACTGACAGTCATTTCCGGAATGAGTCCCTGCAATCTGGCCCGAGTGTCAGCTGGAGGGGCGGCAAAGAAAAAAGAAAAAACCTCATCCCGATAAACCCCTAAGCAGCTGCGCAAGTTCAGGTCAGTGGGAGCGCTGCTTGGCCCTCTTACCTCTGGGGACACTCCCAGGGGTGCGACACAACACGGTGGGCTCCCCGCTCTGTTGAGGGGCACACAGGCAGATTCCATGCGACACAGGGAGTCATGTTGCGGCAGGTACTGCGGGGGTGCCAAAATGCGGAGATGTGGGAAGCTGCTTTCCATCTGCTTGGCGCCTCGGAGAGCACAGCCAGTTGCTCGATCCTTGTGGCCTTGTGGCTGGGGCTGAACGTGCTGGCATGCCAGCTGCTAGTTTCGCGAAGGATTGCCCGTGTCTTTTAGAATGTGCACTGAAGTGGCTTAACGAGGCTGACTGCGTGCTCCGAGAAAAACATGAAAGACTATGCACACACGCATGCGAAGTTCGATCGCTGAAGGAGTCAATGGCAGAGAGTAAAACGGAACACATGTTGCCAACACGTCCACCTCGCAGGCAGCTTCGGCTGGGATCGTATTCAGATGGACCAGAGACTTGTCAGATGGTGGCCATGGTTTTCGAAAAGGACTTCACAGAAAGCTGCAGATTTTTTTTCTTGGGGCTTTTCGTGTTTTGCCTACATGAGCAACGCCGCCTGCAGTCTCAGAACTTTTGTACGTCTTGATACGAAATTCTTGAACTGCGGCGCCCTGGCCTTCTTGAACTTGCAAGCTGGCAGCCGAAGAGTAAGAAACAAAAGCACTATAGAGTACTGTAGAGGCTTCGAACGGTATACCGTACCACTACCACTGACACCTCATGCCCTTTTGCTTCCCCTTCCCAAATCCTCATGAGGATCAGCTTCCACACGACAGCGGCAGCTCCCACAGACCCATGGCAATGGGCTTCTGCAGTGCTTCGGGCCATGGTGGTTGGCAGGCCTTGGCGCGAAGCCTGAAAAAGGGTGCATTCGCGACTTGGGAAGGTAATGTTGCACTCGCTTTAACAAAACCCCCCCACCCCACCCCAACAGATTTGGGCCCTGTATAAACACATGGCGCGGCGACCCCCCCAAACAAATTGGGGGGGGGGGGGGGGGGGAGGGGGAACCACCCTCAGGGCCTCAAGCCCTACCTTAAGGCCTGAAGCTTTCCAGCCTTTAAGATTGCTGGAGCGCAAGGCCCTCAGGGCCTCAAGCCTCTGCGTCAAGCCCTTAACCCTAAACACAAACCCTCAAGACAAAACAATCATCCGGAAAAAGAACTTTGTATTATAAAGGGTGACGCAGCAATTTTATTAAAATTCGTCGGGCTGGCCCATGGACTACCCATCACAAAATTTGTTTTGGGCCTCGTTTCATACTGAATTCCATAAGGCTTTCCATGGAACGAAGATTCCTGGAGCCCAGGGCCCTCAGGGCCTGAAGCCTTACAGTGTAAGCCCTTATCCCTAAACACAAACCCTGAAAAAAAACAACCGTCCGGAAAGACAACTTGTGATAATACCGGTTACCTCCAACAAACTCGGTTCGCAGAATGAATTTTGAAAACTTGTGATTGTAGAGGATGCATATACTAAACCGAGTGCAACATTACAGGCTACACGTTGCATAACATTTCAGAGCCACATCTTGATTGTGCACCAAGCGTTTCTCAATGTCCGGTCTCAGAGGCTTTGAGTCTTGATGCAAAGGCCAACTCCCTCTGCAAGAGAGGCTTCAGCAAGATGTCGTCAGCGTGAACACGGCAGCGGCAGCCCCGTTGGCGCGTGGGCGGTGGCGGCAAGCACTGGAATGCTTCAGTGCCCCGTTCGATTCCTTGGTGCTCGTTGCTGAAACTTGCTCTGTAATTCCCAAACCTGACTGAAACCCACAAGTTTAGCATCTGTTCGGATCACTTATGTCTTATGCTCGATTGTTCATGTAAACGAAGGGCAAGTAAGGTGAATCAACTTGATGCTTCGGCACTTGTATGTGAGTGCAACATCCAATGCACGCACGCACGCACACAAAAGAAAACGAGACAACTCCAGCGGCAAGAAGCTCGAAGCCTCACATACTTTGTGCCCCACAGTCAACAGCGTTCCTCCTTCCGAAGGCCATGCCTCCACAGTGAGTATCAGAACGGACCGTGTGGGCTTGAGCACCAGTATCGCCGCCTACTCAGCGGCACTTCACTGGCAAAATGCCGCTGGCACGCTGCCAAGTTGAATCTTCGTACAGGGCCGGGGTCCAGTTTTGGCCTAATTAATGTCGTGTATTCACCCTATACCACAAGCTACTCAGCCAGCCTGGGACCGGCACTTTTTATGATGAACACCTTCTGAATAAAGGTGCGTTTCTGGATCGGGGGTTGCAGGGAGGAGGGAGGCTCAGAAACAAAGACTTCAAAACACGGGCGGTGGCCGGCCGAGCTGCCGGAAGTCGCCAAGGTTGCATGCCATGCGCCGGCATGAACTGCCACAAGATGTGCTCGGCTGCAATTTGCTGCTCCCTGGTCTGTACTCGGCAAGTCTTGGTCCAGGTACTTGTAGAGACTTGAAGGCAGGTTGGCGGCTTCTTGGTTTGAGCTGTGATTGTAAAGCTGCCATTTCCACTCACTGGACAAGAAAGGTCCTTTATGAACAAACTGACTCAGTTCATTGGTCTCCAAGTTCCAGGATGATTCGGTTATTATTGTGAGAAAGAGGGCGCATGATGATAACATTCCACAGCGGCGAGACCATAAGCGGATGGATGAGCGTGAAGATAATACTGTAGGTCTTGTGCATGAATGTGAACACATTCACACAGTTGATGAAGGTTGTAAATGCATGAATGTAGTCTAATGGCTGTTTTGAAACCGTAAATGCATCTTGGAGTTATTTGGCTACATGAACCCACAGCCTATATAAGCCGCATCTGTACCTAGTGACGAGGCTGGGGTGCTATGCGGACGCCGGATGCTGGCAACTGGCGGTGCAGTTCCTGCTGGCCGAAATGTCCATGATGTCACTTCTGGCAGATGAGACTAGCTGCCTGTCTGATACCATTTCGCTTGCAACCCAACAAAACAGCAGCAGGGGTAGCAATGGCAAAAACGTCGCCACAACCACAAGCAACAACAACGACGACAGCAACGACGACAACGACGACAACGACGACACCAACAGCAACACCTACAGCAACAGCAACACCCACAGCAACAGCAACACCAACAACCAACCAAACAAACAAACAAACGAGCAAGCAAGAAAGCAAGCAAGCAAGCAAACAAAAACAAACAACCACCACAACCAAAACAAACAGCAAACAGCAAGCAACGAGCACCGAGCAACAAGACAAGCAACAAGCACCAACCAATCACCAACCACCAATCACCAACCACCAACAACCAACAACCAACAACCAACCTCCAACCACCAACCACCAGCCACCAGCAACAAGCGACAAGCAACATGCAACAAGCAACGAGCGACAAGCGACGGGCAACAAGCAACAAGCCCAGCAACCAGCAACGAACAACCAACAACAGCTACTGCCACCACCTCCTCTGCCACCAGCACTACAACACCACCACCAGCACCAGCACCACTACACCAGCACCACCGCCACCGCCCGCTACAGCCACCGCCACCGCCACCACCACCACCCCCGCCACCGCCACCGCCACAGCCACTACCACCGCCGCTGTGACGACGTCTACAGACGACAACAACTGCGGTTTCCTGCTGCTGCTACCCCTATTGCTACTACTGCTAGACTGTGATCATTATTATGAGCAATTTTCCGACTATACTTTGACTGCTACGGCGATGATGACGGCGTGGCGTTCCGACATGTCAATGTCCAAATAACAAACATATACTTTGAACATGAAGCCACAAATCAACAATCATTTCAATCAATCAAAGACCTTTAGTATCAACATGTTGCTATCAAACTAGTAGATCTAGTAGCATCTAGCAGCTAGCACATCCACAGGAGGCAAGCGTCGTATGGATAAAGGCATGTCTCCGTTCATCACCAGCACATGCCGAAGTCCCTCAGATCTTCCGCGGGACCTATAGGGGCTGGATAACAAACTATCCACTATCCTCATGTCCTCATTGCAGGCTGGATCTCCACCCTGACCTCCTGCGCCGCAGCATCACAGTGGGAGCTCTCCAGGGAGCTGCTGGCCAAGATGCATGCTTCCAGGTCGAGACTGTTTTGGCGTTGTGGTAGGCAGGAAGTGGAGCTGTAAGGTGAGTAGGGCTTGAGAGGGCTTTGGATCCTTGTTTGGGATCAAAGTTATGGCAAGTTATGGAGTGCCAGCGGGCAGGACTTGACCCCAACAATACTCAAGAAGAGCGGCCACATATATCATGTGGCATGGTTACAAGCTGCGAAAAACATGTAGGGACGAAAGCAACCACCAGAGCCTCGCCAGGCCCTGTACTTTGCTTGGAAAATGGAACTGATACATGTGCATGCCTTTCGACAACAAGCGGATTTTTGGGAGAACGCGAAAGAAGCAACCGTAGCGCAGCTGGACAGACTCGCTGTCTCCAGCGTGGCTGCCAGCGCGGCTATCAGTGCCATGGCTGAGGCGGGCAGCGACAGTAGTGTCGGTTGCCGCCTCCCGAACAAGCACAACAGCCAGCCAGTCAGGGCCACATGTCTGAGATGTACCAGAACCTTTCGCTAATTCGGTGAGCACCAGCATTCGCTTGCCACGCATAGGCATCACTTTGGCAAATGGCTGGCGCTGTGCTAGAAGACATGCAGCTGGATGAGATGTTGCCGGATGAGGTAAGCTGCACGACTGCAGAAAGTTGGGATGCATTGTGCTTTGGAGTGCTTGGTTTCAGTCTTCGTTCGGCCTGTGACAGTAGCAAAACGCTGGCATATTTCGGCATAGTATTCCGTGACCGACTGCTTGCCATGAGCCCCGGACGCAACTGCAAGACCAATCCGGCACCAAAGGTGAAAACTGTTTGTGTGTCAGTGAAGCCAATTTGGCCAATATAGAGCATGTCGTATCGTGCTTCTGCTCTGGGATTGTAGGGCTCGATCATCTCATGTTTGCTGCCATAGCGCATGAATTCCGATGGCTTGCGCTAAGCGAGCTCTTGTCAAGCAGTGATTATTATGCCAGCTGCCCCGATGTACGTTGCCAAGTTTGGCTTTTTCCTGCTGCGATTGTAGGCATCTGAACACGGAAACCCCGCATTGGTGTCCGCCAGCTGAGGCTACGGCATCGTCATCGACGCGTGCTCGCGCGCAGAAAAAGCAAGACTCTACTGTGGGGCATGCGAGAGGACGTACATGTCAAAGTGGCCTGCCAAGTTGCAAGTGCAAGAACAATTTCTCACCATGTTGAGGTACTTGAGCCTTGTAGTTAAGCCAGCTGACAGCTCCCACAGAAGTTGCTTGGCAGAGTGGACAAGAACGTCTGAATACGCCTGACATCGTTAGCACTGCCTGAAAATTCAATCCCACACCTTCAAAGAAGTTGGTCAAATCTGTAATTCAAGCACAACTCACGCGGCAGAAGCGCTCCATTCTCTGGTGATGTTGGCGAGATGGCTTTGCTGCGCCCATCCGCCTCATGTGACACTGCAGCCGCTTGTGCGGCGAACAGCGTCGACTGCACCACTGGAGGCTTGTGCGAAAATGTTTCAACACATGCCCGACATCATCCTGTTAGGGCAGTCTCGGTACCTGACGCTGTTTTGTCCCATTGCACTGTTCTGATTGTTGTACATGTGGGTGCACAACCAGCGAGGTCCGTGACTTCATTCAGACCCCGCATCACGACACGACATTTGCGTTTCACAGGGCGACGGTCGGCGCACCCCCCAACTCCCCGACCCCCCCCCCCCCCCGGGGGGCCCCCCCCCCCCCGCCCGCACCAACACATAACATGCATGTGATGACGTTGCCACTACGCTGTTTGAGAAGAATACAGAAAATTTCAGCCACTTCTTAAGTATTGTTCCAGGACTGGTGTACAGGCTGTCGAATCAAGGTATTCTCCCAGCCTTTGACACTGCCTACGTGAGTGGTAGCAGGCGCAGAAGATGACGTCACCATGGGAGCTGCTTCAGCTTTGGAAGGACAGCGGCGATCCAGGATTGGGGAGGGAATGGGTGTGTTCTGTGGGATATGTCGGATATATTCGGATATGTGTGCCGGTCGCACCAGAAAAGTGCCGATTTTGTGCTTTTCCAGCTGTTCATGCTGCCACAGTGTGTTGGTGCGCATAAGATCGGCAAAGACGTACAGTACAGCGCTCTTGTTAGCTTCATAGAGGTTGTCCGGCGACATCGTCTGTGATCAGGCTTGCACGACGGCCCGGGGCCCTCCAACCTAAGCACCCTCCGCCCTGCTCTATAGGGGCGGAGGGTGTTGTGTCATGACGAGGACAGTGGCCGCTCCGCCGACGATCATGTGGCCCAGCTACAGTTGCCGCTAGTGGTGGACCTGTGAGACTCAGATTGGGGTTTGGGATGTGCATGAATGGGGTTTCCTGTCTATTCCTCATCCTATGATTACGAAGTAGTGCGGGCTACTAGTTACTAGTACTACTGTTTTCTCTGTATTATTAGATTTGCGCGTTACGAGTACTATCACGACTAGCGTGTATTGCTTTAACTCCTACTCCTGCGACTGCAAATTCTATTTCCATGGTGTACTATTTATCCTAGTAACAACTACTTCCTCATGAATAGCTGTTGGGTGCTGCCTGCTAATACTCGATTCAAGTAAGTTGATCTCGTTGCTAAACCAACCTACATACTCTGGTGCTCACGCGTGGCCCGAGCACGTCGACGGCACATGTTTCGTGCTTGTAGCCCCTCGGGAACGTCGATTTCCCCGATGTTCCTTGTGTTGTTCACCTCACGTTCCAGCCGGATGCTTATAACAAAAAGTCGCCACGGTCAAAAACACCGAAGGTGGCAGCATTGTACCACTTGGGTCGGCTGACGCGCGGCCGCGGCACCAGCGAGAGCAAGGCCTTGCCGGCATGAATGACTCACACGCGGATTGAAGTTAGACCGTTCATTTCTGTCAGGTCATGTCAGGTCTGTTTGTTAGCTCTCTGTTAATTATTCAATGGAGGCTAAAGCCTTCAGGCAAACCAAAGCAGGATGCATCTTAACATAGCCAAATATCCACCCTTTCTGTGGAGGAGGTGGCGTCGTCAGATTTAGCCTCCACTATCTTCTCAGGCCAGTTGGGATCGCCACGATGCCATGCAGATGGGCTTGCAGGACGCAGTTTGGTGCTCAGGTACTTGACTGTGCGAGTTTCAACCCCGCCTGGTAGAAATTGCCTTGAGACACCGTGGTTTGAGAGCGTGAAATAGCTCCGATCAGCGCGCCCGAACAGCATACCTGGATCCCTGCTTGTCGGCTTCATACTAGTGACTAGTGTGTGGCATGCCAAATTCTGAACGGACACCTTCACGATCCCCCCGCATGCTTGTGACTTCGGGTATCTTGGGTAGAGGACGAGCCAGGCTTTGCGGACTTGCTGGAAGCCGTGCGCGAGGCTGTCCCCACACTGGACCAGAAGGGCCTTTCACGAGGCTCTCAGAGGTTTCAGTACGATTCTACACAATCCTGTTGTTCTACGGTTCTAGGCAAGTTGCCTGATGGGTCTGCGGTCAATCACTATCTATATATATATATATATATACACATTAGATCTAAACAAAAAATCATATTAGTTGGCTTGGCATCACCTGGGCCAGATGAGGAGTGCTCATGGGCCTCGGGGACACACACGAAGACCTGCCCTTCGCGCACGCGACGACTCCGTATGCACACCTTCAGCGCGTTATCGCTGTGGCCGATGCGGCCTGTGCAAGGCTGCAGGCCTTTTGGAAGGAGGGGGGTTGGCCCGCTTCCAACGGGATGAACCAAGCAAGATGACTTTAAGTTGGAGTTCCGGTCCACATGACACGCCCGACCAAAGCCTGCTCCAAGGACTCCAACCTCCAACTTCCTAATGGGTACTGAGCTTTTAAGACCACAGCAAGTGTTACCCAGACGACGCCCCAGGAGGCTGCACCGGAGGCACTGGATGACAGGGACTTGGGATTTCCCCTCTTCGCTTTGTCCCGCTTGGCCATCTACAATGAGGACTTGAAGTCCTGCAAACGTGTTCTTTTTTAGTATGATAACAAGTACAGACAGCAACCCCTGAAGCTGCACTCATGAAGCTTCGACGGAGAGGACACTTTCGCTATGGGCTCTTCACACCTTGCGGCAAAGATCCGCTGGCCAGAGACAGGTGCAAAGGCCGAGACACCAAGAAATTTGCCCGTGGCGGCGCTAAGGCAGTGGCTTTTGGCCTGCAACAGCGTTAACCACTCCTTGTCCGAGCATGAGAGCCCGATTGCTGAGTACAAGCCAGAGGCCGGCTGGGCGAACGAGGAGCACAGCCGCTTGCATCAGATGGCGGGGGCCTTGGTGGTCTTCCGCAACCCTGACCCTTTGCTTGCGGACGTACTCAATGAAGTTCTCCGACGTCCCTTCGGTCAGATGAAGCAAAGCAAGGCCGTCGCACTTTACGGGCTGCAGGCCGTGCGCTTGCTCAGCGAATCGGGCGCCCTGCGCACATCCACGCAGATTCCAAGCTCTCTGACTCGCAAGCTCGAGCAGAGTCTGGAAGCAAAGTCTCGAGTGATCCGCAGGCGTTCCAAGCTGGAAAGCGAGGTGGGCCGCGCCCTGCAGCTATGTGGCTTCGAGCCCGTTCACGACGTGCTGGCCGCACCTGGCCTCTCAGCAGATTTCCGGTGCCTCCACCGCGGCCGAGTCTTCTTCGTGGAGGCGCGAGTCGAAACTACTGGTAACGTGGTCTCCACGCAACCAGATGGGCTCCCGTTAGCTTGGCATGGCGGCCCTCTCTCGTCTTGCTGGGCCAGCAGACGCCATGTGCTTTGAGCCTTTGAGCCCTGTCCTCCCCATTCCTTCCCCCTGTGTCCAGGTCGATGGCCCATCTCACTTCTGCGTGCGCCCGTTCTGGCGCCCTCGCGGCCGCACCACACTGAAGCGAAGGCTGCGGTACCAAAAAGTACTTGAAGACAACATAAATATGCATGTATGTATAATAAGAATATTAAATAATAAAAATCATATATACACATATATATAGATACTTGTGCCTATCTTTATATATATATATATACATATATATATGTATATAAATATAAATAAATAAATATATATATATATATATATATATATATACATACATGGATGCACAATATTCATGATAAGGCCGTATAGTAGGGTTTCGTTTGCTTTCCTGATTCTTGTGGCCTCTTGGGGTTCTCCCTTTGAGAGGCTCTTTGCCTCCATGGGGTGGCCTCTTGTGTCTTGGCCGTTTTTATTGTGGCTCAGTTGGGGTTTAGGGTTCTTCCATGGGCTTTGGTTTAGGTGCTATCTCGTTGGTCTGCCGGTATCCTAGCCCAACTCCCATGCCGCTCAGAATTTTCTTTCGTCAGACCCTCGTTTTGTCAAGTCCGAGAAGTCAGACTACCCCTGCCCCAAAACCCTCCCTGCTCTGAGCTCCAGGTCTCTGTCCCCTACTGGATTGCTGCAGCTCCAGGCGCCTATGCTCGCCGGGATCTGCCTTCGCGACCCCCGGCACTCGAAGCGGGGCATGAAGAGATCGAGCGCCTGGTCACCAGGCAAGGGATACGAGGGCCATGTGAGGGCCATGTGAGGTGCCTGGTCTGCTGTCAGGGGTTACCAGGTTACCGTGCTGTGAGAAGGAGCGCGGCTTCAGTGGTTTCAGCGTTCGTGTTTCTCAGCATGCCAAGCAGAGAGTTTAGGAGTTTAGGGGTTTAGGAGTTTAGGACCCAATTCCGGGCTTCAGGCCGCCTGTCGGTGGCTTTCACGCTCTAGAGGGTGTAGTTCGGCTTGAATGCGCAATGGCCAGGCAGTTGGACATTCTCGAGGACCCGTCCTCCCAACTGCACAATGACTCCGACGTATGGTGGACCATCGATTAGCGGAAAAGTGCGTCAGGTTTCGTTTGATGCTCCCAGTGCCCATGCATGGCCAGTTGGTTAAGTTGCTATTTGCACGCAGGCTAATGGGCTGGTGGGTTGTGCATGGCTATTGCCAGACCACGCTGGTCGTGTTGCTGAGCTGGCTACTAACTTGTACCTACCAACGTTGCAAGCGTTGGAGAAGTTTGCCATTGCGATGTCGATTCAGAGCCTAAATACATAAGCACCGTCTATCCCACTAAAGACATGCTTCCGCCCACAATTCCAAAATCCTGCAGCCTTCAGTAAAGGCTTTGCTCTATACTTGGCTCCATCTCCTAGCCTGCCCTAAACCCTAAACCCGAACGATGCATAGTCGAGGCGGCTGCGCTTCGGACCCTGAAAGCTGGACCCCATCCTTTGGCGCGCCTGGGATTTCGGGCGGGCGGGCATTTGAGGAATGGATAATATACATATGATGTACATGATAAGAACAAAAACTCCTTCAGAACCCAGAGAAAGATCAAATATCGTTTGTGCGTATGGTCAGGGAGACTATAGCATAGCATCGTATGCTGGTCATTCTGTTTTATGTTCGCTGCAGGGTTTGGCTTTCGGGAATCACGGGCTCGCAGGGTTCACGGCCATTGTGCACTCCAGCTCTAAACCCCAAAGCGCCGCGTATTTAAAGTCGGTTAGCAATGACGCTCGCCGTTTGTGCCATGCTGAAGCATCTAAAGCACAATAGATGTTTCAACGGAACTGAGATGAATTTTGCTACACTGAAGTGACGTTCACAAAGCCTTGCAGGCACCGACGGCAATCGGAGCAGGAGCCCCACCCTGGTTGCGAATCCACTGCAACGGTATGTTGCTTTATGTTGCTTTGGTGGAGAGGGTAGCAGCAAGCGCTGTTAGTGGTTAGGGTGCTGCAAAAAGGATCCTATGTGACAGATGCCCTCAAGGCAGCTATCGGCGCTTGCAGCAAAGTTCGCCAGTGGCAGCCTGGGGCTCAACTAGGGTCCGCAATGTTCGCAGCGTGGCGAAACCTGACAGCTCAGATGCAGTATCATGATGCAGTATTGGGCATTCTTGGCGACCCCGCCCCAGTCTGTTTGGAGGCATGCGCTGGCGTGCCTGCGAGATGCGACGGCAGTGGGCCCATCATTCCACCTCACACATTTGAGAGTTTGTCTCGATTGGCTTCGCGAGTGCTTCTTGGGAAACAAAGGCACTAGGCTGGCCGCTTTCACACGGTTGAGTTTACGGCTGCAGGTGAGTCGTGCGAGGCTCTCCGAGTCCTGCTGCGTGGCCGACATTGAAGTACTAAATCTGCGGATCTGTGAATCGGTCAGGGACTAGCCAAGGAATAACATGCACTTTGTCTATCTTTCTTCCGTTCCGCTTCGCAGAGGATCCTGGGCCTCGCGCGCCTGTTCAATTAAGAGGTCACATAGTTCAAAGAGAATGCGGGTGAAGGCAGAAAGAAGACACAGCCAGGCTTTTCAGCATTGACTTGAAGGAGACACTGTGCAAATAGTCCGTTCAGACCCGACGAACATATTTCAGATATCTTTTCAACTTGACTCAGATCATGGCATTCCTTCTACAGAACGCAGCTTCCACCTCACCCGGTCTCTAAATCATTCCCCCTTCCCCCAAGCCTAAGCCAATCAAAACCTCGGTAGGCCCTTGGGACATTTTATGTTTTCCCTTATTGGGTTTAGGAGGATCATATTCAGGAATATGTTCAGAGGGTTTTACGGGCCATCCTAGAAACCATAGGTCAACTCTTCCTTGAGCAGATGCAGCCTTCAGGCTATGGTCTTGCGGCCAGCGCCTGTGCGCGGAGTTTCCAGGTCCGAAAATGACATGGGTTGGGTGTGTGTGTATCAACACAAGCAGTTCATGTTGCAGGGGATCTCCCTAAGCCCGTTTTCCGAAACCCTAAGCCCAAACCGCACAGTTGTTAATGATTGGTTGAGGCTCCTCCCTCACTGTGTTCTTGCCCAAAGCTCGTGTCAGTGCAGCTGCTCGTTTTTTTTTCCCAGCGTCCCTGTACTCAGAGCTTGCATTATGGAACCAAATTAGAGATTTGTCGGGTTTAGGTTAGGTGTGGGGATAAGGGGCAGATACACTGTCTCAACCAGGCAGAAAAGGCGCCTGCTTCCCGGATCCATGGGTTGCTCTGTGTGAAGATTGCTCGCCTGAGCTGGGTAAGTGGCAGACAAAAGCAGCTGCGGCGGCGCAGTGTGCAGCATGGTGATGCTAAGGCTCAGCCTCGTACAAGAGGCCAAGAATGAAGGTTTGGAGCTCTGAACTCAGCAACGGATCTGTGACCAACAAACAGGCATAATTAGCGCATTTCCAACCAGGCATCTGATTGAGCTGCTGGCAAAGTGGTTTTGGCTTCGAATAAGTACGCACATGGCATAGGGACATGGCCTTTCATTGGGGCCTGGGATGTATACCTGATCTCACAACGTTTTATGATATGTCCTCTTTCTTCGCACCATCCCAAGCTGCTTGAATCTGCTTGGCAGCACGTGGCCAGGGTCTGATGTATCACGCGGAGGCTGATTCCAATCGCCTCTCTGATTAACACCAAACCAGCAGACGGGTTCAGCCTACAGCATGGCTCCTCTCGACGACGACGAGGAAGATGCACCATCGAATGCCAGTGCAGAAGCAGATGACGAAGGCTCCGAAAATGGCCGCTCGGCTCAGTTCGATGTGCTTGCCTGGCCGTATGAGTGGGTTATCCGCACAGATGCTGAAATGCTTTGAGCTTCAGCCAGAAAAGAACAGATTTATGGCCCCTGCACTGGAGGGGTCGCAGCAGGGTTTAGTCTTCGTGCGCTGTCATTCCCATCAGGTGTGCCCACTCGCTACCTACAGCAAGAGCGGGCCATGCTGCAGCGCGGTCGGCTTGCTCCTTTTCAAACTGGCTGGACATCATGCACGGGAAAGATCGGGAATATCTGAGAATACTGCATGTCAGTGACGTTGCAAGGGGTGGGGTCGGAGGAATGCAAGCCATTGCAAGCCATCTCAAGCCCATGACTCGGACACCCCCCTGTCAGGAGCAGTGCCTTGGATATGGAGGCCCTTTGCGAGCGCCTGGTGGGCCTCTCCGTCCCGCGGCCATGCTTGTGGTCATGACCCGGGCCTCAAGATTACACACACATGTATGTATGTATGTATGTATGTATGTATGTACGTACGTACGTATGTATGTACGTATGTATGTATGTATGTATGTATGTATGTATGTATGTATGTATGTATGTATGTGCGTGTGTAAATGTGTGTGTATGTGTGTGCCCAGGGTGTACACACGAGAATTTGGCGTCCCTCAAGCAACCGACCGGCACCCGAAGGTTCTCACAGCATTCATTCTGCCTCTCCCTTTAAGCACCGTCCCGCTGGTGTGTTGCACGGCTCGATGTGCTTTCGTGGGCGTGGGTGTTTGCGTGTGCGCGCCGCACTGTGTGCCCACATGCCAGTTTGCAGGTCGAGGAGGCGGAGAAGGATGCGCGCGAAGCCCTTCAGGAGGCCAAAGACGACGCCCGCGACGGCGACGTGGTGGCAGTCTTGCTGCAGGCGTGGGGGGGGCATCCGAGGTGTGTTGAAGGCCTTGCGCGGGTGAACGGTGCACTCGAGCGGTGCAGGCTCTTTGTTGTCCACATGGCACGCGCTCGAGTAAAGGTGAACCTTTCTTTGCACCGCAAAGTGCCACAACAAAGTTGCAAGCGAAACCGCGACGCCTCATGGCCAGACAAGAGCAGGTCTTCCAGTCAGCCCGCAGCAGTGTCCTGGACTCGGAGGAGGAGCCGACCGACTACAGCTGGACCGAGGTCACTGTAGGTTTTTTTGCTCCAGCCCAAACCAGAAGCTACAAGCATAAATAAACACACACACACTCTCTCTCTCTCTCTCTCTCTCTTTTTGTTAATTCAGATTCATGCACACGTCTTTGTGTAAGCCTGAATGGTCCTGAATGCTGGATCCAGGTGCTGGGCTACTGCAGCCGCCTTTGCGCCTTGTGTGATCGGAACTTCCTGAGCAGCTCGGGAGCCAATTCTAAAGAGGCAGCGCCAGGAGGCTCTCTGAATTCTACAGGGCTCTTGGCCAGTTCTGTAAACGATGGTCTCTCGGTACCCTAGAGTCCCCACAGAGAGGAGTACTGGCTGGTTCTTAGACCTATATTCTATATCCCCTTATATATAACCTTTAAGGGATTACATAGGGTACCTCATTCCCCCATTCCCTACTCAGAACCAGGATCGGCATCAAGATGTCGGCTCTATAAGGCTTGGGAGGCCAACCCGGGCCGGATGACTTCCCCGCTCGCGTGGTGGCCAGCATCTACGCCGAATGCGGACGGACCCGAGGTCTGCATTAAACTCGTGGGGGTTGACGATAATCGGATAATCGGGGTACCTTATTGGGGTCCTTTCTATCAGGGGATCCGAATATTCACATCAAACGACGTATTCGTTTATGCGTTGCTGGGAAGTACCAAGTGTCACGGCCGTGGGCCTCACGTCCCCCACCGAGCAGAACGCTAATCCCAAGGCCAAGAATGCCGAGATCCTAAACTTCAACTACAATTTCGACAGACCTGGGAAAGCCCTGGACAAAGGGCCAAGACTTAGACACACTATGTGGTTCAGCTGGATCAGCAGGTTCAAGTGTTTCCCAGATCTCGAGTGGTGCCATGGCGCGTCGAAAGCCCAGGACCTTAGCGGTGGCCGGCCACCCTGTGGAGGCACGCACTCGTCTCCAGCCACCTGGCGCTTCTTGTGCGCGCGTTTGTGTGTGCGTGTTTGTGCGCGTGTGCGCCTGGTAGGGGTTTGGCTCGAATTTGGGGGTGTCAGTGTTGAGGTCCGCTTAGTTCCAACGGGGCTATAGCACGCGCCGCCAAAGCACCTGGCCGACTGCGCCGATTTCAACCATCATGAGTCCGAGCCCTCAGTCGATGAACCCACAGCGGCATCTCAGGAAAGCTCTTAATGTGTTCGGCCTCATCTCCGAGCCCACAGAGGAGGAGCCGCCATCCAGGAAGTACGCATCCATGCATCCTAGCCCAAGAAGGAGAGAGAAAACAGCGAGAGGGTGCGACAAAGTCCAGAGAGACTTGGAAAGCAGAAAGGGGGGGGAGGTGCCTGCCCTCCTGTCACCATGCTAAGGTCACTTCAGATTTAGTTGGTGCGATTGGACTATGTTGAAACCGTATGAGCTCCAGAAATAGTATGGGTGTTTTTCGTCTGTGTGAAATCAGTACGTACGAGGTGTCAGTGCGCTTGGTCTTTGAGGAAGTAACCACGATATGATGAAGGTGCTCACCGGTCTTGTTTCACGCCGTTACTGGGTGTTTTAATGTTCATCCAAACGCTGTGAATGGTGCGTCCAACCTTGCTCTCAATGAGAGTACTGATTGACTTCCATATACTTCCATGAATCCAACTTTGCAACCGGGAGCACCAGATGATACCGTGAGAATATGGAAAGTGAATACATGAACGACAGGCGGTTATAATTGCCCTAACCCTATACTTACCCTAGGTTCGCAATTCGTGCTGTCATGTTCCACAGGCCGCTTCAGCCCTCACGTACTAGAACGCTTTGTTAGGTCCACTTTGGCCGCAATGGACATCCGAAGCTACTGCTCGATGCGAAAACGCCTGCTCCTGGTCCTCCTTTTCCTGTTGCAAACCAGCTTCGGGATTTATGATGCAGACCGCAAGATCGAGCACGCCCGGCTGTATGGGAACGTGGATAATTATGCATACTACTATGTGGACCTTGTCGTGGGGACCCCTCCACAGAGAGTGTCGGTGATTCTTGATACTGGCAGCGGTCTTTGTGCTTATCCTTGTGCCAACTGCCGACACTGCGGCCACCACCTCGACCCAGCGTTCGACGTGGCGAAGAGTAGTTCTGCAAGATGGCTGCAATGCTCATCGGGCCGTTGTCCTGTTGGCCGCTGCCAGTCCGGCAATTGCAGCTACTACCAAGGCTACACCGAGGGATCTTCCATCTCAGGCTTCTGGTTTGAGGACAAGGTCAGCTTGGGGGACATGATCCAACACAACCCGCAAGTGAGTGCCAGGATGGGATGTCACGCCAACGAGAACAATTTGTTCTTCACCCAAAAGGCCAATGGAATTATGGGCATTGGCCCATCGGCACTGAGTGGTGAAGACATTCTGGACAAGATCTTTAAGGATCGGGACCATGTGAGCCACAAAGTGTTCTCCATCTGCATGGCAGAGTGGGGAGGGCAATTCACCGTCGGGGGCTTTGATGAGTCGTTTCACACAGGCCCGGTGCAGAGGGTGCGATTGAAACCAGGCGGCTTCTACTCTGTTCATTTGAGTGCCATGAAGGTGAATGGGGTCAGTATTTCCAGCAATTGGGGCAGCACCATGATTGACAGCGGGACGACGTACACGTACATGCGTTCAAGCAACTACAGAGCTCTGACGAGCGCCATTGAAACGTATTGCCGAGGCCACCAATGTGGTGGAACAAAGTATGGCACAAAGTGCTGGTCGTTGCCACATGGACCTGACCAGTTTCCCCACATCGCCGTTGTTTTTGATGGCGTGGAAACAAAGTGGGTTCCAAGAGCCTACTTCTACAGGAGGGGAACGAGCGACACTTATTGCTATGGCTTCGAAGACGACGGGCCCCATGCAAACACCGTGCTGGGGGCTGCTTGGATGAAGCGCCAGAACATCATTTTCGATATGGAGAAGAATGAGGTTGGTATTGCTACAGCAAACTGCCCTCATCACAAAGACCGACCAGCTCATGTAGCTCAGGCTTCGTCTAGCCCGTCATCGACAACCACCTCCATGGCTGCAACGTCGGTGACCACATCTACACTTCCAACCACAGCATCATCCACGCACGCTTCCACGGCCCGTGCAATAGAGACCACAGCCCCGAGTACAACCGCCCCAACTTCCGAGCAGGGCGCCATACCCGCTCGATTTCTCGGACAAGATCCCCTGCCCTTCGTTGGGGGCATGGCTCTTGGGATCCTGGTCGGCCTCTGCCTCTTTCTGATCCGCAAAGTTTGCTTCAAGGTCCCTGAGTTGCATGGGCATGTGAAGCTCAAAGAGGACGAGGAATCTGAGATGCCGCCACAGATCGTTACAGATTAAAACCACCGACAGTAGGGTTTGCTTGCCGTAATGGATAATCACGGAAACCCTTCCCTTCCCCGCTCGTGATGGCTTAAATAATAAACATGGGGCTATGTGTCTTTGCGAAACCTGCGAAGGGAAGCGTAAACACACAGACCTTGTCTGAAACGGATGAACCTGTAGTGTCAGATAGGACGAGAATCGTCACTGAACTGTCCTCGTGGCAAGGGATTCCCCTCAGAGCACCTTGTTGGCCTGCACGCTACCTGATTTCATCTTTGGTCTGGTGTTGTGCTTGAGTGGGAATCTTGCAGATTGCCATAGTCAGAACCTTCCGAATCCTTGCCTGGCTTCGAACCCCGCTGTGCTGTGGCTTGTCGGGTGCCAAAAATTTCCTTGCCTGCCTTGTGCGAGTGTGAGAGCCGAACCCGAAAACCCTAATTACTTAAGCCTCTTAATTGCTTAAGCCCCTAAAACCCTTAATGGGCCTAATTACTTAAGCCCCTAAAACCTTAGCCCGCAGCAGGAGGCCTGGATCCTGGCAGCCTGCCGGGCCTCCATGGCCAGGGCACTCCGACAGTCGCGAGGCGAAATTTCACCGGACTGAGATGTGGGGGTTTCCGAGATTAGGGGGTACCTTTCTGGGGTTATATATTGGGGAATCCTACTATTTGGGGGTCTTAGGTGAGGGGTCCCTTATTTTCGTAAACCCCATGTGATCGCGGGCCTCGCGCTTGTCGCGCGCTGCGAGCATGCGGGGGTTCTCTCTGTCTGCATCTGTCCGTGTCTGCGTGCGTGTGCGCGAGCAGATGGCTTGCCCGTGCAAGCCATGGAAGAGTCACAGGGGGGTGCCATAGGTGCCAAACATGAGCTTTGTTTTGGCACAAGCTGAAAGCTGTTAAGTTTGGGCTTGAATCCGCAGGCTTGTGCGGAAAACGCTGGCATCTGTCATGGTCCTTTAAAGTTTGCCTCGCGTTTCTAAAGCTTCTGCTGCAGCAGTGCGCCTCAGCAAGGCTTGCAATCGACAAAAACATGCAAAGTCCCAGGTTGGGGCAACTCAAAGGTGCCCAGGACGAGTTCCTGCAGGCGCTTCAGCTCATGGCCAACCTCCCGGAGCCGAATGACCTGAGCTCTGTGGGACATTCTGAGACACGGGAGAGGTTTCTGCTCATCTTCCTGGGCAGCGTGGCGATTTCATAGAAATCTGTGCAGCGCAGAGATATCGGCCAGAGCACGGTGTGCAGACTTTGTGCGGTATTGGGCTGGCAGGCATTTAAGTTCAGTCTGGTAGGCTCGCTGCAGTTGCATGCGATGCAGGAGTCCTACGAGGTCACTGAGCTCCTCTCAGAGTACTGCGAGGCCCCTGCCCTCGTTTTCCTTGGGCTAGGTATTTGACCCTTGCGACCTCTTTGGGGCTTTAGGGACTTTAGGGATGCTTAGGGTTAGGGCGAGGCCGGCAGAGGTGAGGAGACCTGCTGCAAAAAGGGTTTAGGGTTTACATCGGCAGGCCTTGAGCGAGGCGCCCAAAGGTGAGGCGGTGGTGTCCTCCACGCTGGTCGACCTGAGCCTGGGCTCTGCAGAGTTGACGGCCCATGCTCTGGGAACCCGAGCTTCTCGTGGCCCTGAACCGCCGTAGCCAAGGTTTGGGCTTGGCTGACTGCTGTGGTGTGCAGATAGAGGGGCCTGCCCTCGCCCCAACTCCATCCAACTCCCCTATTTTTGGTTTGTTAATGAACCCATGCCTGCAGACACCACACCCAGCGAAACAACGGCCCGCCACGCCTGGGGACACAAAACCGGTTCGCACCTAGGAGAGAGGACATGCCACACCTAGGGTCCCGCCGCACCTGGGAGAAATGAACCTGGGAAAAGAAAGATTCCCGCCCGAAAAGGAGAAAAGAAAGAGCCTTGCCTAGGAAAAAAGAAAAAGCCTTGCCAAGAAGGGTCCATGCCACACCTAGAAGAAAAGGGTCCCAGATACCGAGACGCTGCAAGCCGTCCGAGCTGTTGAGCACTTGGGGTGCTTTGTGCTCCTGCTAGCGAAAGGTTCAGAGACTAAACAACACTTGCTTTGAGGATCCAAACCAATTGGTCGCTTCTTTCTCACAAAGGGTTCGCGCGTTAGGATGGGGTGAAGAGGATAGCGGTTTTGGTTCTGCAGCTGTGCCGGATGAGCTTGCTGCGTTGATATGGCGTTCGCTACTTCGGTGTCGCCTGAACCGCATTCACCCAAAACAGTGCGTTCCATGCCCAGGATGGCTTCGATGATAGAGGAGAAGTTCGGCGAGGGCAGCGAGGAACACATCCAGGCCCTTCAGGCGCCCGGGAAAAACAGAAAGAGGACTTCTGGGTACTTGCGCGTACCTGGTCGCAAGGAGCTGTCGGCAGCTTGCCTCGCTGCTGAGAAGCCATCACTGGCTGCCACACTCTACGTCACGCTTTCAAGGCGTTTCTTTTGCTCCGTGATCCCATGTCATAGCACATCTTCGGACAGCAAACGGTTAGAGTAGCTACTTGGCAGGTAGGTTCGGGGGAGAGAGAGGCTGGCATTGGAGAGTCGGCGACCGTAATGATAACGACGGCATTGGTGGTGTAGGCAAGTCGTCGCACGCCATATGCTTCTTTGTCGCGACAGGCTTCTTCGCGAATATTACGGGAGTGACCCAGATACCTGGGAGACACAAGAACTACAAGAGCCTTGGACATTGGACATAGTTTGACCGAGCTGGAGATCTCGAGTCTGACTGGGAAATCAGGACCCCTCAACCCTGTAAACATCTTTATGTACATAACGTCTACAACCCTGTAGGGAAGCTTGCTATATACCCTAAACCCTAGTTTTGCGGGAGCGACAAACCCTAAACCCTAACCCTACTGTAAGCCCCAACTCTGCCCTGAACCCTAGGTGAAGATCTTTGTGGGCATTGAACCCGAAGCCCTAAGCCCTAAACCCAAAACCCTAAACCCTATGAGCGTGTTATCTGTTTGCAACATTCTGGTTTGGTTTGAGAGCATGAGGTTCGGGGAAGGTGTGAACATCTCGGCATATCGTAACCTTGGGCACTGAAGTTTGTACACAGCATTCCCTCTTCAGTTGCCCCGTGGAGCATGGCTAGACGGGTGGCAAAAAAAACCCTGAATAAACCTCATAAACCCTCAAAACCCTAAAGATGACTATAAACCCCATACACCCCACATAAACCTCAAAACCCTAAAGATGACCATAAACCCCATACACCCCATATAAACCCTAGAAACCCTAAAGATGACCATAAACCCCAGAAACCCCAGAAACGCTAGAAACCCTAGAAACCCTAAAGATGACCATAAACCCCATAGGAAACCCTAAAAAAACCCTAAAGATGACCATAAACCCCATAAAAAACCCTTAAAAAACCCTAAAGATGACCATAAACCCCATAAAAAACCCTTAAACAAACCCTAAAGATGAGAAGTTCTTCTTTGGGCATTGGCCTTCAGGCCGTCGAGGAGAAGGCAGCTCAAGCCCTGGAGGCCGGCGCAGCCAGCCACATGAGCGAGGGCGACCTCGAGGCCAATAGGGTTTAGGGTTTAGGGTTTAGGGTTTAGGGTGCATAGAAGGGAAGCCCCCATGCAAATGGACAGCGGCGCTCTCGGCTAGGGTTCAGGGTTTAAACGGTTTAGGGTCTAGGGTTCTATAGGGTCCAGGGTGTATTAGGGTTTAGGGTCTAGGTTTTAGGGTTTGAGGTTTCGGGTTTCGGGTTTAAACTCGCCTCCTGGGGCAGAAAACCCGACAACCTCAACCCTGGATGATTGCGTGGAGCGGGGGCTTGCGCGATGCACTCACGCCGACACATGCTAGGACAGGTGGGGCATGTTCGGGTTCTGGACGGCTGTCTGCTGCGGGTTCGTCCAGCTGTGCACATCAGGGTGGCTGCATGTGGCTGCCGCAGGCTGCAGTGACCTTCTGGTCTCTAGCAATCCGGATGCGAGAAGGCCTGGATGCTGAGGACTGCAGCTGCAGAGCATGTGTCTGTGAAGTGGCATGAAGTGGCTGTATGTGTTCAAAGACTACCTCTACAGGACGCATAAGTTTCGTGGCCACCTGTTTGGTGCACCCTCTGGTTTGGTATGGTTTGGTTTCCGGCCTGCTGCACATCCACTTTCGTCATCTTTGCTCGCTCGTGACGTGCGGGAATGACAGGAGGAGGTGTTGGCGGAGATGCGCCAGTCCCTAGCTGCCTTGAAGCAGGCTGCCGCCGCCAGCGAGGCGAAAGGCAGCTCGTGTCAGTGTTCCGCGCTTTTGCTCTCGGAGTGTGCCTGCGCCAGCGCTCGGGTCTTACGTGACGAACGACTAATGTGGACAAGAACTCGTCACGTTTACTTGTCATCTCTGGTGGTGCAGGTGCGCGAGTAAATGCGTTTGGTTTTGATGACTCTGCTTCGGTTAGTTTATTGTGCATATTCGATATGTGTGCCAGTGGGCATGCAGATAAAACAAGCCCGGGCAAGAAGTGGGACCTTTTGGAGAATCCGCGCAATGCTGCACCACACCTCGTCACATATCCAGTTCATCTGATGCCTACGCAGGCTCTTTTTTGACAACGTGTCTCATTGTGCTGGCCTGCCTCGTGCTACGACAGATTTTGCAACAGCTGTGAGCCACGCTGACTCTTCAGGCCCTGCTTCGCCGAACGAGCACGCTGAAGCCGCTGCCATGCCCGATATCTCGCAGGACGCCATACTTTGCACTGGCAGAATGGAGGCGTTCGCGAGAATTTTCCACAATGTTCCGTGTGGGTTCGGAAAGAGGACTGTATAATGTCTGCTTTGACAGCTGATGGCTGTCAGGAGGAGGAAGAAGAAGACGCTCGACCTGATTCCTGGGACGAACCAGACGGGCCCAGCGCATCTTCCTCCATCAAGGAGCGGCTCAGACGAACAGTTCGGCTGTCGCATCCAAGGCAGGAACATAAGGTGCAACATGCACCAGCGTGTCCACAATGGCGTGCGTGCGTGCGGGTGCGTGCGTGCGTGGGCGTGCGTGCGTGCGTGCGTGCGTGGGTGGGTGGGTGGGTGGGTGGGTGGGTGTGTGTGTGTGGGCAACCCGAGTATCAAAGGGTAGGTGTGAGCAATATGAAAGAGCCAATACGAGCAGCAGGGGAGTGTGGCTCTTGCATCCTACCACACTCAACGAAGCTGTGGATGCAAGAGGGAAGCGAAGACTGATCATCTTCGTGCACCTGCTTCAAGTGGACTGGACCCGATCCACTAATCATGCTTGTGACATCATCTACCCTCACCCCAAATCGTGCTCAGTCTTGAACCATTTAATGTGCCTTGGATTTTCGGGATCAAAGTGCCTTGGCTTTCTCGCATCTTGGATCGCAATACCAAATAGATAACATGAGCCTATTGAAAGCCTCGCTGAACATTTTGATCTTTTGATCTCCTTGACGGAGTACGTGAGAGAAGCACAACCCTTCCGACATTGCTCGGTATCAAGTGTGTGTGGCCAACCCTGTGTCCAAGGGCTTTGTAGTTCTGCAGCTTTTCATTGCAGGGGTGCAGGGGCATTGGGCACTCCTTGGCAAACCCAGTGCAACGAAGCTATGCCTTGGAGTGGGAAGCAGTTCAGGACGCTGAACTGTGTACCTGCAGGCCATCCAAAAAACACCCTCAAAGCCGTTGCTGCATCCTTGGCCATTTCAAAATGAGCACAGATTTCCATTGCAGATCCATAAGCTTGCCAGGGCTTTGGAGCTCACAGTTCGACAGAAGTCGAGTCTTAAGTGTGTGTCAGTTCGGCAATCCCTTTGGGCGCCAACTACGTGGGAGGATGCTCTCACAAGTCTGACTTCCCGCTTGACTTCACCGAAGCTTTTGACTTCCTTGACTCTCAAGCGACGGGAGGAGTCTTTCATCTGAGACATGAATCGTCTTGCTTGATGTCAGGACCTGAAAGAAGATTCCTACATATGATTTTTCAATTGATTCAGCTTCTCATTCGTTCTCTATACTTGCATACAGCTGCGTGACTTCAAATAATCAGCTCCACGATTGCTTGACTTCACCATGAATCCCCAGGGGTCCGCCCAAAGACTCCAGCCAAGTTGAAGCACTGTTGGCAGTCCCTGTAATTCCGAGGCTCTAGTGTCCCCAGGTTGAGGTATCCTTTCAGTCGTCTTGCTTGTAGGCAGTCCACGTCATTCCGAGGCTCTAGTGTCCCCATGTTGAGGTATCCCTCTCAGTCGACAAAGGAAAACCTTGACCTGTGGCTGACCGAGATGCAAAGAACTCAGATCCGGCATCGCACGCTATTGCCGATCAGACAGCTGCTACCAGCATTCTCGGCCGCCTCCTCCTCAGGCTCAGTGGCTGTTGCAAGTGCTGCTTACCAAGCTACCGTGTTGCGCCCTTCTACTAAAGGGCGTGTGTGTGTGTGTGTGTGTGGCCAACCCTGTGTCCAAGGGCTTTGTAGTTCTGCAGCTTTTCATTGCAGGGGTGCAGGGGCATTGGGCACTCCTTGGCAAACCCAATGCAACGAAGCTATGCCTTGGAGTGGGAAGCAGTTCAGGACGCTGAACTGTGTACCTGCAGGCCATCCCAAAAACACCCTCAAAGCCGTTGCTGCATCCTTGGCCATTTCAAAATGAGTACAGATTTCCATTGCAGATCCATAAGCTTGCCAGGGCTTTGGAACTCACAGTTCGACAGAAGTCGAGTCTTAAGTGTGTGTATGTGTGGGTGGGTGGGTGGGTGGGTGGGTGTGTGGGGGTGTTTGCGGGTGTGCGTCTGTGCGTGTGTGCATGTGTGGGGGTGTCGCGGTGTCGGGGCGTGGGGGCGTGGGGGTGTGGGCGTGTGTGGGTGGGTGGGTGGGTGGGTGGGTGTGCGCTTGTGTGCCAGTGTGCCTGTGCGTTGCTGTTGCACCTGTTTGAGGAGAAGCCTCCGTCCGATGCCCACCAAACTCTAATTGATCCCTGAGACGACTTAGAAGGATAGCTTGGCTTTGCTTCAGGTGTGGTTGGGATTGTGAGAAGTTCAAGTTGTAGAAGCATTCGGGGGGTTCGGGGGCTGGACTAATTGCAGCTCTGCTCATCGAAGATTTCCTATCTACTTACCTGCTACCACCAATCATCCCCAGCCTAGAACAAAAAAAAACAAGTAGACGAGGGTGCTCCACAAGGATATTCTGCGGGATTCCTTGGTGGAAGACCCGTTCCCAGGAGACCTGGAGAGGTACAGCAGTTTAGGACACGAGGAAACGCAGGTGAGGATAATAGTCGCTGAGTTGAACCTAACAGCTTAACACCGAGGGCAGGGAAACAACCCGCCTCACTCACAAATCTTAACACTGTAGCAGGTGACTTCAACAAGCGGGTGAAAGTGAACAAGCACGGTGTTTGCCTTGTATAGAAATATTGCAAGAGCATGTTTCAAGTTTCCTCAACTTGTCACATCTATTCATGCCTTTGGCGAACATGCCGCCAACACTGCTACTCCCAGTGTTTTTGCTTGATTCTACAACATACAAGACCGCGGCCACAAACCTTCGCAAACTATGATGCAGCCGAAAACCACAAGAATCCCAAAAAATCAAAAATTGAGAACATGCCAATATATCCGGAAAACCGTGTAGACGTGTTTGCGAACGACCATCAGACCTTACACCAAAACGTGATTTTTTGCCTCGGTAAAAACACAAAACTCAAGCTTCCCATAGTCAGGAAGAAGATGCCCCAAAACTTATCTCAAGCCGAAGTCGTCGCTTTCCCGTAAATCCGTGCGGTATAGCGCTTGACTCCACGAGAATTTGCACAACAGTGTGCAAACATTACGTGTCTTTGGCTTGAGTTCCTTGGCAGGAGCCGCTGCGATCGAAGCCTTCTCTTGTGGTCGGCCCAAGCACGCTGCGGCCGGCCTGGGCACAGCGAAGCCCCCCGCCGGCTGTGCAGAAGGAAGCCACTGACGCTTGGGATTAGACAAATGCATTGAAAAAGAAGTGACGGGTTGGACCTTCATGCACATGGTGCACGGCACATGGGAAGGCTTTCTACAGGTATTGCAACTGCCGTGGCTATGAGGCCGGGCGTTCTGACACACGGCGCCGGTCTCTTGGCGCGCGGAGCCTCAAGAATGACGGTCTCAAGGGTCATCGAATGAGTTCGAATCATAGCGCCTGTCCTGCCCGAGGTGTAGCAGGATGCAGTGGTGGCAGACAGCTCTCGGGCTCTTCTCCACGATGCAGGCATCCCAAGTCAACTGAACGTCCTGTCCGATCGTGGACTGACCTGAGGGTTCATCTAAATTTATGGGTACTTTAGGGTAACCCTTGGAGGAAACGATACGGCTATAAGACTATGAAAGAGAGTCAGAGAGTCCAAAAGGACTAATCCCCCACCTCAATTGCTTCGAAGGTTGCCGCACTGATGCCGGATGCGGTCTGCCTCAGCACCCTCATCAGCTGCCTTGGGCCACCTCCTCAGTCGTGCAAGTGTGTTCTGCCCAGAAAAAATGCATGGACATTTACCAAAGTTCTGCGTCGCTTCCATTTCTTCGGGATGGCCGGCCGTAGAGTGAAAGCAGTGCCAGCAAGCAGCAAACGTTCGTTCGCATGAGGTTGGGGGGCGTACGAAGCTAGAGCAGCTAGGTTCTTCTAGAGGGAAACACAAGCGGCCGGTGCAGCCGGTTCCTCCTGGGCGAGTTTCACAACGGCGCGCTCGTGCGCAGGGGGTCCTTCGGGGCTCAGAAGAAGAAGAAGAAGAAGAAGAAGAAGAAGAAGAAGAAGAAGAAGAAGAAGAAGAAGAAGAAGAAGAAGAAAAGAAAAATAAGAAGGGAAGGGGAGAGGGAGATCGTCTCACACGCACGCCTCAGTACCAAGGAGCATGATGCGTGTGGTTGGTATTGTTGTTAAATGGGAAATCCCGACTGAAGGAATGCCGAAAGGCCAGCGAGCCGTCCTGGCACAGTGAGCTAGGGCTCCTCGAACCCGTCAAGCCCTGAAGAAGGTCGGGATTTCAAGTAAGTGTCGAGGTTTTGGGGATTCGCTGGTTGACTACAAGCCGCCGGCTAAGCATGAACGAAGTAGTACTTGGGGCTGTTTGTGTCTGTTTGGTTTTGGGCAAAAGACGCAACCCACCGTGGACTGCCGAGGGCGGTTGTCAACTTAAACGCGAGCGGTCGAGTGCTGGGAACAGGGGCCCAATTCGAAGGGCATAGGCGCGGCATAGGGCTTATTCAGTTGGCATCCGGCTCTGAAGTTAGTTTTCTGGCGCACAAAGATGCCTGCCGAGGGTAGTGCAGGGGGAGAGGACGTTTTGTGGGGGCCCACTTAAGTTGTTGTACAGGAAGTCCCTGCTTAGTTGCACTCAGCTGTACTGCTATCCGCCTCCCAAGCCGGGGTGCACAAACTGCGTGCAGACTTTGGTCTTCAGGCCCCGTCAGCCGACAGATTCTGTTGACATGTGCGGCCATTTCGGTGGCTATGCAAGGAAGGAGAAGGAGAAGGAGAAGGAGACGGAAAAGAAGAAGAATAAGAAGAAGAAGAATAAAATGAAGGGAGAGAGAAGAAGGAGAAGAGGAATAATAACCACAAGAGAGAAAATGATTTGTCACACGATTGGTATGACAATTGCTTCGTTCCTTAGATGCACCCACATGCAGCTGCAGTCAACTCATGCTGTTGCAGCTCAAAACTCGCGAGAGCCAGTGAAACTCTGCCCCACAGTTTGTCAGTGTCAGGGCTGCGGGCCGATGGCAGATGGCAGCTTCCTGAGGAAGCGCGTATGCCAAACCAGCAGGCTTTTCCACACATGGAGGGCAACGAAGCCTCTTAGAACAGGTTATGAGACATGCAAGAGATGACAGCAGAGGGCTTCCTCTCACTGCTGCTGAGGCACTGCACCTTTTCTGCGAGGTTGGGGCCCAGATTTTTTGTCATAGAGACATTTGACATCAGATCTCCGGAGCAGGCCATGAGTTTGCAGCAGCTATGCAGGGCCGAAGGTGCGGAGCTATGTGTGCGTTCGCATGTTTCGGCAGACAGAGGATTCATAGGCTGCACCCATCTGCGATGGCATGATGGTGCCGCTTCGCGCAGGAGTTGTGTGATCTGCTGCAACATGAAGCACACTTCATAGCAATGTCGCCGCGCCATGTCCACATGTACGTGTTGCAAGCCTATGTCGTGTCTGGCGACATGCGTCTGCTACAGGTGCAAGCGCTTTGCCGGTGGATGCCCTGATCTTATAAGACATGCCTGGTTGCTGATGCCGGCCTAGTTCAACGGATGTTCTATATCTTATACCTGTGCATCATGCCCGCAATCCGCGCGGCTAAGGCCTTCGTTGCGAATGCTGCCGAAACCTCAAGACAACCCGCGTCATCATTTCGGACGCGGCTAGTGTATGGCGACATGCTGACTGACACCGGCTGTTCAGTGCGGCTAAAGCAGATGCTTATTTCTGAACCACAGAAATCCGGAAAGGTTCAGAGACTCCGCAGGATCTCCTGTTCTTGATTGATGTGACAGAAGCCAGTGCATGCAGTCTACGACCCCCTGACCCTAAGAATATGCATGTACTCAATGTATTCCCGACAGTATGTGCTCTTGGCGCTTCAGTCTCTATATCGAGGGGCCCGGGCTACGCTGTTGGGTCTTTGAACTGGCTAGTGCCCACAGGTCTCACAAGAGGGTCCCGCGCAGTGTTTGCAAGACACGAAGACTCTGAAGAAATCTGGCAAGGCCATAAGCGCCTGCGAACGGGCATTGCAGTGGCAGCTTGCGGTAGCCTCAAAGCAGAACTGAGAGGGCAGTGCGCGGGGACATTTTCGTACGAGCGATGCTGCACTACTTGGGTTGAAGAATTCGGTAGGTTTGCAGGCTGGTGGTCGATATGTGGGCCATGTGGGTGGATGTCAGTATGCCCCAATGAATCTGATGGTTATAGCCAGTGCAGATGTAAGAAGCAATGATTCTGAGCGCTAGTTGCTACAGCGACATGTGCTGGAATGCTCGCAGCTTTGCTGAGGCTTTGCAGCTGGTAGATGTGACCTTTACGACCCCGCGGCTAAGTGATGGGCCCAAGAGTATCGGATGTGCATGCAAAGTTGTGGCAGCTCAGCAGCACTTGCATTCACAAGTCTTTCTACAATGGTGTGTGGGCTGAAACATACTAGCGCGCAATCCTTGTCATCTAGAGAGAGCAGTCTACATATAGCCTGCACAATCGATCACTCACCCCATCAAAGCCGGCGCACATGAATGTGCATAGACTGAACAAGAAAGCATGATGAGGGTGCTGCTACTCGAGTTACACATTGCGAGTTGCTGCTGATCGGACACAAAACACTGGAATGAACAGACGCAGCTGCACCGTGAAGCGCCGCCCACCGCCCATGATGTTGGGCACAGAAAGTTTCTGTAAAGACCATCTGCGGAGGACATGCTGTGGCCCCCTGTGCCCTCTGCAAGCTCAGGAAAGTTGGCCAGTCGACAGATGAATATCAAATTGTCGGGTGGAGCAACCCAACCTGCTGGAAGATGCCAGGCGTAAACGTGGGCACTGCAGCGAATTTCGTTACATGAAGGCGCTCTTCAGAACACAGTAGGGATGGACTCTGGAACTTGCTGTGTAGATGGTGTGTTCATTGCCCCATACTTGGCAGCGTCAACATCCAAGTGGCAGCAATACTCCCAGGCCCAGATGCCGTCACCTTCAACGTGTCCCTGGCAGCCTGGGGTCAGGGTCTGCCTGCAAATGTGATTGAAAGGTGTGAGTGTGAGTGTGTGTGTGTGTGTGTGTGTGTGTCTCTGTCTGTGTGTGTGTATGGAGTCACCACGAATCAGAATCATGACGAGTCAAGGCGTGAGCAGTCCTGCCGTCCAGTCCATGGTCGCGTGTTGCATTTGTCTACCCTTCCGGTTCCTCTGAAGCTTCGCGCTCTTTCGTTCCTAGCAGAGCCAGAGTCCACGAAGTCCACGGAGGGCCTAGCATGGCGTCTCAACGGCTCTTCTCACTAGGGTGCCTCCCGAAAGTTCTTCGGTGTTTGGGAATTGCCTTCTACTCGTACTGCTTGTTTCAGGGGGAGGCTCGAAAAAGATGATTGGCAGGTCGGCACTGGGACCGCGCTGTTCACATACTGGCAATCAACTCAGACTTTGTCGGAGCATGCTGACAGCGCTGGTTGTTCCCTATGTGATGTTGCACTGATGTTGCAGTCGTGCATTGCTTTCATCTCAGTGGCTGGCTCAGTCATGACGCCGCGTCCGGCCTTTGGGACTGCAATCCATGCGTGCGCCTGCTTGTTGCGGCCGTTTGGCTCTGTGTTGTGGTCGTAGCTTGGGTACTTCACGAAGTAGGTTTGTACCCAGAGAGGCACCAGCTGGTGCAGACCTCCGGACACTGGCCTGCACAACACAGTCACACGCACCCTGGCCAAGCACAGATCCGAGCACCGATTCGCAACCAACTCATTTCGTGCCGGAGGTCAGCAAGCGTTTCACACCCCTCGATTTTACTGATTTTGAGGTTGCCGCAGGCCCCTGGGCCCGAGGGGATAGATCGGCGACACACTGCCATGAATTGACGATGGTTAGTCTCAGCTGCTTGTTCTTGGCCACGGCAGAGCAGGGCACGTTGATCATGTCTGAAAGCGCTGTCTGAGATGCCATCAACCTTTCCGTTCAAACCACAGGAGCTAGAAGGCTGATCCTTCAATGCTTTGCTGTGCCTAACATGTCACGAAAGCTAGCTCTGTGGAGCTGGCGGGAGTTGTCGTTTACCCATGCACTGGTATTCACCTTGTTAAGAAGCTTCCAGGGAAAAAAAGGGTTCCACACCTGAACAGGTCCGAAACCCGAGACTTAAGGTGGGGGTGGGGGGGGGGGGGGGGCCCCCCCCCCCCCTCACCTCACCATGAAGCATTTTCGAAGGATAAGGTGCCGGCGCCGCCCCCCCCCCCCCCCCCCCTCCTTTAAGGT